CCAATTAATTTGAATTAACAAGGATTTATTTATTTATGAGCACTTGGCATTACAGTAAGGATCTAATTCTGCTAATCGAGATGTAAAATGTAAGCAATCTACAAGAACCTAGATTTTAAATTGGTCCCAGACCTTCTTGGTTATTAGTTTGTTAGTGTGTTTGCTCATGGGTAGAGGACATGATACTGCAAAGAGAAGAAAACTGCTGACAGCTAGGCTGTCCTGAAGCTCCTGAAGGCTCTGGTTCACTCTTTGCCACATTCAGGCCTTCATTTCCCCCCACAGGTGCTGGAAAATCAAATGGAGCAATGCATGAGGAAAGCAGTGAAAATCAGTAAGATGCACCCGAGAGAGAGGGCTGAGTACTCATAATGCCCAGAGCACCCAAAGAAAATCACATAGCCTCAGGCCTCAACAAAGGCCAAGCACAGGCCCAGCCCTCTAAACGGTGAGGCAATCAAAGAAAACTTGTAAGTTTAAGGAGCAAAGAAAGGACACGAATAAAGACACAGGATGTCCTGAGTGCCCATGTGGAGCCCTAAGGTGCTGAAGGCCTCATGTGACTCCACTTCCCCATGATTCCTCATCACTTTAGAGTTATTGCCCAAGTCCCTTCTAGTGCTAACACAACTGCTGGAGTCCAATCTCCTGCCCTTTCTTACACAGAAAACCTTCAATGGGCATGTAAGACAGGTATAACACCCCCACCCCAGGATTATAAGAAACCCCTAAAGGTGAGGTTTATTTTACATTGAAAATGATTACCATTGGAATCAAGGACAGATTTCTTCAGACAACCAGCATGACCTAGAACTTCTCTTATCTAAGTGTCCTTTTGCTATTTCAGATCAAAACTGAAAAGTTAGGCTGAGGGCATGGCTCAGGTGGTTGCATGCCTGCCCAGCAAGCACAAAGTCCTAAGTTCAACCATCCAATCCCACCACACACACACAAAAAAAAAAAACCTGAAACGTCAAACTGATTTTATACAAATAGAAAATGTACGCAAGCAAAGCCAGAACCTTGACTGGAAGGACTAAAAAGCCAAACGTGTGTGTGTGTGTGTGTGTCTGTGTGTGTGTGTGTGTGTGTGTGTGTGTGTGTAAAATAAACAAAGATTTCCAAGCTGGGGGTACAGTTCAGTGGTAGATCACTTGCCAAGCATGCATAAGGCCCTGGGTTCCACTCCCAGCACCATAAAACACACACACACACACACACACACACACAAACAATTTCCTTTTACCCCCCTCTTCTTTGGGAAATATCAGAAGCAGCTACAAAAACAAAGTTGACTTGTGGGGCAAGGGCAGTTTGAAAGTCGAGGTCAAAGGTCCTGAAATCTGGAAGCCCAGGTCCAAGGACATAAACTTTACCTCTAAAGTGGCCTGACAGAGAGCTGAGCAAAGGGGTACAACTCTAACAGGGCCAACCTCTATACTGCACTTGAGGCCTGTATGCCTAGTGATCTGCAAAACTGAGTTTATATAACAGGCCTTTGTGTTGTCCCAGATACGAGGGAGTAGAGAAGCAGTCAGAATGGTTTAAGGATTTAGAGCCAGCTAAGATTTCCTGAGGGACAGTGTGGTGGTGAGGAGTGAGATGGGGGAAAGGTGTCCTCTGTTTCAACTAGGGAGGAAAATGGTAACAACAGCCAATAATAAAATTTATACTGGCTTACATTATAAATATTTGGCTTTATTTACAATATGCTTTTGGGAAAAATAAGAAATAGTAATACTGATTGCTTCTGCTTAGAGGGTACTATTGGGTGGCCTGGGAGAAAAAAGGTAGAAGGGATATATTTTGCTTTTAAGTCTTGGAAATTTTGGAATTTGAACCATGTGAATGGATTATCTATTCAAAAAACGAGTCAAGGAAATTTTAAACTCTTTCAAGCATGTCCACAGTTTTTCACAACCCTCAGAAGCAGGCAGAGTCCTATTTCATAGACCAAGCCTGAGGCTCCAAGAAGGAACCTGAATTGCCCAAGGTTGTGGCAAATATGGAAGACGCAACTGGTCAGACTCCTGATCCGGGGTTCTGTTTTTCAGAAACGCCACAATGAGAAAGACCAGCAGCACTCAGATTCATGTTCTAAGTCCAGTCCTGTGAGCTACAGCCAAACAAATCCACATGGGCACAGGAAATGACCACACAGAAAGGCTTACTAACTAGCATAACACATATGTGAGCTGTCCAGGTTATCCAAATGTTCTGGTTAATTACCCCAACACTCTTTGGGTGCCAACTCTTATTAATGAAAACCTTTTTAAAATGCTGAAGTCCACATTCTTCTTTCAGTGACTGCAACGCACAACTGCATTTTCACAACATTCATCAACCTTCAGAACTTCATGGTCACCTTTACTGGCTCAAAGGGAATCAGAATATGGTCAAGTGTAAAAATGAGCACTAGGCTTAAGAGCCAACCAAACCCTGGTTCAAATCCTGGTTTTCCTAATGACCTATAAGAGACCTTGGGTAAGCTGGTCACTTCATTTATCTTGGCTTCAGCCTCCTCACTATAAATATGAACAAATGAACAGGTATGTATTGAATATATTTCTGTTGCTGGCCCCATACCTTAAGGAGAAAAACTAAGAAGGTAATTTCCAGTCAAGGTAAGTGCTATGAGCAGATAGGAAAGATAGGAAAGAGGACCTGAGAGGTCAGAGCAGGCCTTTTTGAATAGGTGGCACTCACACTGGAACCCGAACGATGAAGCAGCAGTTAAACAGGGATCTAGGAGCAGAGCATGACAAGCAGAGGAACAGGTGCAAAGGTCCTGAGGCAGGAACAATCCTGGCATGTTTAAAGGACCAAGGGCTAGTGAGGTTAGCAAATACTGAGTGAGGGGCACAATGGAGGAAGATGAAGTTGTAGAGGCAGACAGGGGCCCATTCCTTCAGGTAAGTAGTTTGTTATTCTGGTTACAACAGGAAGTGAAACAAACAAAAACAGGAATTTAATTAGATCTGTATTTTCAAACTTTTTATATTTCAGTGGAAGAACTCTTTAAGCAGATAACAAGTGAAACTTCAACATACAGCTGGATAAAAGTGGCCATGACCACTTAGTGGTTGGTACTGTGTTGTGGATAGAAGTGGCACTGTTCTGACAGTCTGGGAAAACAGCTAAGGCCCTTCTGAGTCTCTGCCTCCTTGACCCTCCCAACTCACCCCAATGCACCTCAACCAAGAAGAGTTGGACCCCAACAGGTGATCTATGTCTAAGGTTCCTCAAGCTCTTACAAAACCCAGCATCAGGACTGGGGGTGTGGCTCAGTGGTAGAGTTTATGTGCCAGGCTCTGGGTTTGATTCCAGGACCCCATAGAGAATACCCTCCAGTCAGCAGAACACAGCCTCTCAAAAAGAGCAACCACTGTATCTTTGAGCGGTTATAATACACCACACAAACACAGCCTTTCTGCTGCCTCCAAAGGACAGCATTCTGGAGGTGACCATAAGGAAAAGAAATAATGAGCTGCCCAGCCTTGCATTGCATAACCTATGCTTGGGTACACAGTCCACCCTAGGCTCCCTAGGCCACAGGCTGTTATCTCAACAGGCAAACAGGAACACTGCCCCTCCCTGACCACAGTCAGCACAGGGCCACAACATATCCGGCACAGGTCAAAAGCTTTATCCCTTTATTTTCACACTGTGCTTTCTGAGTGTGTGACTGCTGGCATCTTCACCAAGAACACATTCAGCCATGGACCACTCCACCCATACCAACCTTCCCTTACCATTTGCTCCAAAGGGGTGGTCCAGAATAACTCAGATTTGCCTTGTCTAGTCTATGGAGACCAAAATACACTGAAATCCAAGAGTAAAAAAACCTTGCAGGCGAAAGTTTCTGCTTGCCCAGTCACATCTACTCTAGAGGCACTGTGCTCATTCATATAAACACTGTTGACTTACTTTTTCTCTACGATGGGGCAGGAGGGAGGCAACACCCAGAAATTATCCGAATTTTACAGAAACGAAAACAAAGAACTAAGTATCCCGGCCAAAGGCAACAATGAACAGGCCTACAGCCACCCAGAGAGGCTCTTACAAAACCCAGCAGGTAGCAGTCAACTGACCCCATCCCGACTCCACGTACTGAAGCCGGAGGCAGACCCTGCCTGTGCTGCCCAGCCCTGAGCTCTCTAGAGTTGTGGGAAGGACTGGACATAGAGCCAGGGGTACAGCACTTGCCTGGCATGTGCAAGGACGCGATCGAGTGATACAGAAACTTGAAAGGGTTTCTCAAAGGTGCGGTTCAGTAAGTTACTGGGTGCCTGTGTGAGCAAGAACAATGCTCTGCCCTGTCCAGGTCGGAGGACAGACGCCATGGTGAAGAAACGGATTTCATTCATCACAAACATTATCTGTAAACCACTGCCGGGACGTCGTGGCAACCACATCCTGCTGTTTCTCGGGGCTCCTGCCAAAGCTTGGTCCCCCCTCCCTTTCCGGTATCCGCCAAGTTTTCGGTTTCCACCAAGCCCCAGCTGGGGGAGGGCCGCCGGGCCTGGCGGAGAGACTTCACCGCCGCGTCCACCAGCAGGGCAGGGAGGCGTGGCCAGGCCGGAAATTCTGACAAAAACTTTGGCCCTCGGGTGCCAGAAGCACCACTTCCTGGTCCTCGCTAGCCACGGGGGAGGCGTTTCTGGCCGTTCCCCTCCCGAGGGACGCGGTCGGGGATGGGGGCAGGGTTGGCCCCCATCCGTAAGACGCGGGCCCAAGGCGGCCGTCCCCGGGCGAGGCCACTCAGAGCCAAGTCCCACGGGCGCGAGCTCGGGAAGGCGGGCTTCCCGCTCTTCTCGCCCGGCCCGCGCCGTAACCACTCCCGGAACCAAGGCGGCGCTTTCGAACTTGAACCCAGCCCAGACCCCGAACCCAGGCCTGCTGGGCAGGAGGGAAGGACTGGGCAAGAGCCGCAGGAAGCCGGACGCTGGCGCGGCGTCCGCCCGCCGGGGGGAAGCGTGCGGCCCGCGCCGGCCTCCCACCTTGACCCGCTTGCCCTGGATCTCCAGCGTCTTCATGGTGAAGTCGACGCCGATGGTGCTGCCCTGGCGCTCCGAAAAGGCGCCCGTCTTGAAGCGCTGCACCACGCACGTCTTGCCCACGCTCGCGTCACCCACCAGCACCAGCTTAAACAGGAAATCGTACTGCTCGTCCTGGTCCCCCGGCCCCGGCCCCGCCATGGCCTCGGGAATCCCAAGAGCCGGCGCTCGGGACTCTGGGACCGGCCTGGGCTCACGCTAGCCGCGGGCCGAGCTCCGAGAGCTCCAGCCCGCTGGCCGCTGGCGACGTGGAGCCGCCGCAGCACCTGAACCAGCGGCGCCGCCGACCGCCGGCCACCGGCCACAGCCCCGCCCCGGCCCGTAGTCCAGCGGCTCGGCCCCGCCCCGGATCACCCAGTCCGGCCCTCTGCAAAGCTCCCGGCCAGCCCTCAGCTCTGCGCCGGACCAGTAGAACCCCGGGCCCGCCCTGGCACCGCCCTCAGCCCGTCTGGCACCGCCTTCAGGCCTGCGCAAGCCTCATTGCTTCCTCCGCACTTCCCAGACGACCCCACCTTCAACATCTGGCTCCGCCCCGGAAACGCCCCCGACCCGCCCCTCAGCACCTCCCGGACTCCGCCCCCAGCACCCGACTCCGCCCCTAGGGCTTCCAGTCTCTCCGCCAGCACCGCCCCGACTCCGCCCCAGGCACGCAACTCCCCTCCCGGCACCGACTCTGTCCCCCCTCAGCGCGCCAGCACCGCCTCTGGTCTCCCTCAGCATCTCTCCGGGCGCGCACTCAGCACGGCCTCGGATCCTCCCCTCAGAACCTTACCGACACCGCCCTCAGCGCCCCTCCTGCCCCCTGCACCGCCCAAACTCCTCCCCCACGCCCTCCCTCCCTCGGCATAGGCCCCGCCCCCACGCCGTCCCGCACCGCCCCCCAGCACCGCCTCTCCCTCAGCACCGCTTCAATCCCGCCCTCGCACCGCCCCTGACCGGCCCTCACCACCGCCCGATCCCGCGCTCCGCACTCCTCTTCGCTCTCAGACCGACCCCACAGTCAGCACAGCGTCCCGGAAGTCCGCTTGCAGCAACCCCTAGTGTTAGTCCCGCCCCTAGAGACTCCGCCCCCCCGCGGCTCTCGGCCCTGCCGCCGTCCTCCTGGCCCCTCGGGCTGGACGCCCATGGTCCCAACTCCCTCCTCAGCCCGGATCCCAGCTCGGTCCCCGCCAGCCGGCCTCCCTCTTCTTCCCTGGCAAGTCCACCGGCATCGCTAGCCCCGAGGACCCCAGACCAGCCTTACGGGAAGGCAGAAGAGTGGTTAGTTCTGAAACCCCACTCCCATAGGAAATGCCCAACAGCTCCAGCTAGGAAACCCCAAAGTGCTACTGAAAAGGATTCTCAAGTACACCAGACGAAAGTGGAGAACCGCCGTGGGCTGAGAAGGGACGCAAGGGTCCCTAGCTGGCCTGGCTCTGAGGGATTGGCCGTGCCTCCATCTGAGCTGCGGTGCACCGTGCAAGGTGGAGAGGGAGCCCGACCCGGCATGGAGGGAAGGGGGTGGACAGCAGGGGCGGGAGCAGACGTGGCTGACTGTTGCCTACGCGAGAACGGCACGGGGCAGCGGGGCATCCTGTTTGACCTGGAAGCATTCTAAAACTGGACTGCGAGAAGAGTTGTGCAGTTCAGGAAATCCATTAGTCATTAAAATGCACACTTAAAAGAGCAGATTCCACACGACGGATTTACACCTCAACAACTGCATTTCTTTTGGTACTAAACTGAAGGGCACAGTTGCATTTTATTTGAAATGGAAGATGGTGAGTGGGATGAGTGAAGGTGACTGTTGGAGCCACTGCCACATGGTACCCTCCCAGATACCCTATAATCACAACCATGTATGGATCAGTTCTCTCCCAAGTGGTCAGAAGGACAATTCTGCCTGCTTATTCCTTCCTACGTTATTTCCATGTTTTTTTACCCCAGCAGTATGGGATTTGAACTCAGGGCCTCATGCTTGCTAGGCAGGTGCTCTACTGCTTGAGCCACTCCACCAGCCCTTTTTTTGAGATGGGAGTCTTGCTTTTTGCCAGGGCTGGCCTTGACCTTGATACTCCTGATCTCTGCTTCCCAAGTAACTAGGATTACAAGCATGACCCACTGGCGCCCAGCATCTTTTTCTTACTTTTTACAATCACTATTACTAAAATAGATAGCCTATAACAGTATCACCCAGATTTTCCTTATGTGGCAGCACTAAGATTAGTGCTGAAAATGTGCTCCAATCAAAAATAAGGGTGAAAAACTCCATGAAGACAACCAGATACTAACCATGATACCCTGTGTGCTTAAAACAGAAACGTGCTTGCTGCTAAGTATGAGAGAATTAAATGCAAGAATAACACAAAGACCTTCTGTAACAGTTGGAGACAGACGGAGGTGCTCTGGGCTGGTATTCTAGAAGAGCTCTCCTTTAGACAGCCCTCAGCTCACCTGGTGGCCAAAGAAAGGGCAGACATCCCATTCTCCCCATACTCTCAAAATGTTATCAACTAAATTAATCCCCCTCCTCAATGCGTCTGTTGATGGTCTCATACAGGAGACTGTGACACAAAATACACAGCCCACCTGCCTCAGAAACTTTCCTCCCACCTCTACCCACGTCATGTGCCCCACTCTCATTGCTACCCAAGACCAGGCCCAGCCTCCCCAGATTGCCCTGGCTTCTGCCCTGGTCTCAGCTTCTGGTCCACCCTGCAGGCCCCCACCCCACCAAATCTGGCACCTCCTACTCAGACAACTTCAAGAATAGCCCCAGACCCTCAGGAATAACCACATGTTCAAGGCCCACCTCTCCAATATCATCTGCTCCCCTCTGCCCTGAAGCCCTCACTGGATTTCCCAGCTCCCAAACATACTAGCCAGAGGCCCTACCACACATGGCCTGGCCAGAGGGGACTGTGAGCAGCTCCATCCCCCCAACTTTATTGAAGAGGAAGCTTAGCTCCAGACTGCAGTTGACTTGTACTTAGGTCCCAGGGGGCTGCATCATAAAAGTATGTGGTGCAGGAATCGAGTACAGACCTGTTAGAGGGAAACAGATGGACCACAGCCACTACTGCCCTACCTGGGAACCTGTCTGTTCATGAGTAAAAGAGGGTAGACCAAGCTTGCTGCCCCTTCAGGTGGGTTAATGCACAGTGAGAAAACCCCTCCAGAGCACCAGGAGGAAGCAGGGAAAGGCTGTTACCCCTTGTCAAGATAGACCTGTAAGCTCATGTTCCAGGGCATGGGATAGGTGTAGGCCAGGCAGAAAAAGAAAGGATTGAACCCCCTTCTGGTTTATATGGCCCAAAGCATTAGTAGGGGAAGTCAGGGGCTGGAAGTGCAAAGCAAGAAAGAGTGAGGAGGAGGAGAGTCTAAGACTGGCTGGAGTGGTGGAACTCAACATTTAAGCAAAATAGGAGGGAGACTGTGTTTTAGACTCACAGGAGGATGGATGGGGTAAGGGAGGGAAGTCAATGAAATGTGTCTATGAAAAAGTCTTTTTGGAAACTGCAGGCAGAACCAAAACCAACAAATCATTAAACAGATTTTGTTAACCAAACAAAGGCTGCCAAGATTGGTTCTTCCCTTCTGAGAAAGCTAGACCAAAGTGAGCACATCCAGGGGTCACATTAACCCACAGTTGGCTTCTCCACTGTCCCCAGGCCTGGTAGGAGCCCTGTTCAGATGTTTCCTTAGTGCCCAGCCCCACTATGGTCCCTATGAGGACCATCTCCAGGATGGCCAGTCAGGTGCTTCTCCACTGAGCCAATTTCCTCAAGTGAAAGCTCTCACTTTGATTAGACCTGCATCCCAGGAGGCCCTAATGGGACCCTGGGGGAAAGGCTTAGAACACTGCAGGCCTGGAGCCCTCTGGTCTGAGGATGGGCTCTCTCCCCAGGGAGAAAGAACATGATGTGGGAACCTCCTGCTCTCCTCTCAATGCAAGGAAGAAGTGCCACAGCCCACTGTGCACCTCAGAAAACAAATCCCTAACTGCATCTGCCTAAGTCCAGCCACCCCAGTGTCAGTCTGTTCCCAGAATCTCTGCCCGTTCCATGGGATGGCTCAGACCCTAGGGCAAACTCAGAAAGCACCATATTAGTCTTGAACTTTAGAGTAGGGAAACCAAGGCAGACACCCAGAAGGACTTGCTCAAAGTCCCAAGTCCACTCCTGAGGCTGATTTCAGCCAGGTGGGTTCTGGGCCCAGAGTCTGTGCTTCCTGCCTCCAAAGCTAAAGCCTCAACCTGGACCCCTCTTCCCTCACACATTAGCCTGGGGGCTCAGCTCAGTAATTCTCAGGAAGTTGGGCTCAGGGGAGCCACTTTCCAGAAGAAGCTGAGCTCAAGGAGGACCACTAGCCCTTGCCTCAGTGAACTGGGCCCTGGATGACTCTGCCCTTCCCACAGCAAGATGGGCTCGGGGGGACCCCGCCAGCTCTCCCCACAGCAAGATGGGTTCAGGGGGACCCCACCAGACCTCCCCACAGCAAGATGGGCTCGGGGGGACCCCGCCAGCCCTCCCCACAGGGAAGAAGGCTTAAGGGCCTGCAGCCCTTCAACCAGGAACTCCCTAGAGCAAGATGGCCATCAACTAAGTCTCTCTTCCCTAGCTCAGAACCCTCCAAAGTTCTTCACAGCCTCAGGTTCTTTAAAGAGCAGCCAACCAGCCAGGCATGGTGGCTCATGCCTGTATCCTAGCTACTCAGAAAGCAAAGATCAGGAGGACCTCAGTTCAAAGCCAGCCCTGGACAAATAGTTTGACAAACACTATCTAGATAATACCCAACAAAAAAAGGGCTGGTGGAGTGGCTCAAATGGTAGAGTGCCTGCCGAACAAGCACGAAACCCTGACTTCAAATCCCAGTACCATAAAAAAAAAAGGAGCAGCCAGCACCACCTGCTGGCTCTACTGCTCTACCAACACAACCACCTGCAACCACATGGGTCGCCGTCCATGATGGCTCTGCTCCCATAGTCAAACCCTCCTCAGCCACGAAGAGCCCACACGTCGCCAGGGGATGAGCTCCACAAAGTCCCTGGACCCTAGAGAGGAGGGAGCCTGAGTCCACACTGCCCGGGGCTGCAGCCCTTCAAGAAGTTCCCACTTCATAGCAAAGGCCCAGTTCAGTATGACACCTTGGGCTGCCCGTGAGTGTTCACTGTGGGCATCCGTACAATCCAGCCAGCCCATGAGCCAGCCTCAGCTGTGAACATGAGGCCCTCGTAGGGTACTCTACCCTCACCTCCACTCTCAGATGGAGCCTGGGACTATCCTATGCCTGCCATATCCAGGCTGGTGCTGGAGACCTCCTCCTGCAGCCCACAGTGCCCTTCAGCAACTGACCTCATGCCACCCTCAGTGTAGTTACTCCAAGGAACAAGGTGCAGCCACAGGTGTTTCTTTTCTTATAAAAATCTTTAATAAAAACAACCTTCCTCAGAACAGGTTATAAAACAGAAGTTGCAAGCTCAACATTCCTGCCTCCCCCACAGGGAGAGGGTGAAGCAAGCTGAGGGCCTCATGGAAAAGCAGAGCAGTGGCCAGCACCTCAATGGCTCTGGCTATAGAACCTGGGATTCAGTCTTGGATAGACACATCATCTCAGTTTTCAAAAGAAGTAGAAAAATCACATTTTTTAATGTTGGCCTCTTAATTGATTCTTCTCCTCCCAAAATCACAGTCCAAGGCAGAGTAAAACACAAGCAGCCAACCTGGCACCCTGTTGTACACACTCTATATAAAAATTAATGGATTCATTTGTACAAAAGTGACAGCTGCAGTGTTCGGAACAAGACAGCCTATCAGGGAGATAGGGGACAGAGCCCAGAAAAGGTAAAAGAAAGAAAGATGAGAAAGGTTCAGGGACCTTACAGCGCCAGCCAGCCTGGGGTGGCTGTGCAAGCAGGTGGTCCTGTGGTGGGGGGTCACAGGCTTCACGAGATCTTCCAGACTCCAAGGATAGCTCTGCTTTCCCTAATACCCCAGGAGTCTCCTGGCTTCTTCACTCTGAGCCTGCAGGGTCTCACTCGCATACTTCTGGAGCAGTTCCATTTTCTTCCTTCGTACAAGCGCCTCCTCAATCTGCAGACACCAGAGTAAAGCTCACTTCTCAGCATGGCCTTGGCCCTGCCCCAAGCCAGCCAGGACTCCCACCTGACTTTCACCAGATATACCTGGAATAGTCTGCAAGAAATCAACCCTCTCCCACTAGGAACATCTGAACAAAAGCACGTGCTTGTCAGTGCCATATAGTACAGAGGACACCACACCCCTTCATGCACACAATGACAAATGCCATGTGGTCAGATTAAGGGCTGCTAGACAGAATGGAAGGACACAGAAGACCCAGAAAGGTAGTGAGCCTGCTCTGGGGGAGTAACCCCAGCCTGGGCAGCACCCTGCTGTCATCCCTCCCCCTCGCCCCCATCTCACAGCCTCCATCTTACCTCCTGCTGTGATGGCACCGGCACATGAGCAATGAACTTCTGCTGTCCATCCTCCCCTCCTTTCTCCTGGCTGCCCTCCTCATCAGACTACAAATACAGACAAACACCAGCCCATCAGCAGAACATCAGGCAAATGAACACTGGCACCTCTATAACATGCACCACTCTACAGTTGTTTGAGAGAAAAGGAACACAGAAGTTCCAAGCTTACACAAGGAGACACCCAAGACACATATAGAAAAGGCACAAAACATGGAAAACATGGTCTTATGCCACCTTTTGTGTAAGGAGACAAAATAAGGACAGAAACTAGTAGCAGAAGTGAGAACCAGGTGGATGGGAAACAAGGAGAGGAAAGACTCTTTGTTGAATATGTACATACTTCATTTTTGAGCCTTATGAATGTATTATCTATTTTTAAATTTTTATTTGTTCATTTGTTTTACAGTGTTGGGGTTTGAACTCAAGACTTTGTGCTCATAAAGCAAACTCTACCACTTGAGCCACACCTCCAGTCCTAAAATTTAAACTTAAAAAAGATCAACTCAGAGACTGCATGTGAGTCAGTCAATAACTAATGTGGACCTGGAAGCAAAAGACAGAGGACCCTGCTGTGTTGACTAGTGTCTGTGCTGGTACCCTCCAAGTCCTCCACACTGGCTGCCATAAGGAGCAGGCTTAGAAGCTCTTCAGGGGACTCATATTCTGCTGGAAGGAGAATGGATTGCACAGGCACTTTGGAAAACTGGCTGTATCAGCTAACGCGTGTAAACACACCTGTCCTATTATTCTATGCCTGGTAATTCCACTCTTAGTACACACACAACAGAAACACCCATGAGAACAAGAAACTTTACAGAACTCTATTTGTCAGAACTCCAAACTGAACACTAAACAAAACCCACAAACACCAGACATGAAAGAGTCCATAGGATCCCATGGACCTCTAAGTGGGTGAAGTGTGTGGGTCATCAGAGGCAGGAGAGTGAGATCTCTGGATAGGACTGGGCCTCCTGTTTCATCCTGGGCATTTATGTCCACCTTAGGACACTTGTGACCTGTGTGCTTTTCTGCACATGGAATGCCACTCAGTGGCAAAAAGGAAGCATAAACTCGACAGCCCAGTGGGCCTCAGGGCACCACTGAGCATAAAGGCCATCTCCAAAAGGGCACATAGGGTTCCATTTATAAAACACTCTGGTCCTACCAGAGCTCTGACTTTTAGTTTTGTCCTCAAATGACAAAATTATAGAGATGGTGAGCAGACAGGGGGCTGCTGGTGTTGAGAGATGGGCATGGGTTGTCACTGTAAAGGGCCACAGGAGGGGTTCCAGACTGGTGGCACAGTTACGCAGACAGTGACAGGATCCACACAAGAGATGAAGGACAAGGGACTGGACACATGCCCTCACGCTGCTGTGCTGTAGTGTGTAGTATGTAAAGTATACACACAGGATCACTGTGCACTGTTTCTGCAGTGTTCTATAAATCCTTAATTATTTCAGAAGACAAAGGAAACAGAAAGCTCCTACAACAAAGGAAAGTCTGTTCCCATGGGACCTCTCCTCCCCACTGAGCCTCCTCTCCCCAGCACCCTGCTCCACTGATGGCCTGCTGTCTGCCCCAAGTGCTCACCAGGTTCCCTGAACATGCTATGCCCTCACCAACTGCACATGGTCAGTCTCCTTAGCTATCTTGACCTCAGGTGAGGGTCAAGTCCCCAGCACAGGCTGCCCTGCCTCCTAAATTATGCCCCTCTCCCCAGGACTGGGAACTCCACATATAGCTGCAGTGGCTGCTGTGCTCATGGTGGTCACTAACAAAGCACCACCTGAGTATATACACCTAGAAAAATCTCCTGGGCTATACTGACATCCTGCTTCAGATCCTTCACCGATTACCACTGCTGGTCAGCTGGACCTGACCAAGAGCCTCTCACACAGGATCTGACCCTCCCCTCTCTCACAGAAGCAGATCAGCTCCGCTCTGGACCTGTCAGGCAGCAAAGCCTCCGAATGCCAAACGCTGTAGAGGAGCCTGGAGCCCAGAGGTTCTGCCAGAGGGGTGGGGACCACAGCTCCTTCCCTGACCATGAGCCTTTCCAGAAGCCCACCCCTCTGCTCTGGGCCTGAATCTGTCTGTGAAGTGGGCAGGGCAGACTGCAGAAGAGCTACTGGCAGAGCCAACACCTGGGTCTATACATCCATTCTAGCTCATTCAGAAGAGCTGATCTTTAAGAAGAAGTCATCCCTTGCTGAAAGCACAGTTAATGGGGTTCTGTGATCCTGCGATCATCTTCACAGCCATCCTGCAAATGAGAAAGCTGGGCCTTGCACCCTAATCCAGGCTTTCTGAATGAACCTTTCTCCCTAGTACCCTCTGTGGCTTGGAACAGAGGTGAGTGCCAGACAGGACCCATGTCATACCTCCTCCTCGGTGACAGCATAGATGTTGACTTCCTCCTCTTCCTCCTCCTCTTCCTCTTCCTTTTCTCCTCTTGCCAACCGGGCCTCTCTCTCTGCTTTCCATTTTTCCACTAGCTCAGCTCTGACTAAAGACAAGGGAAAGGAGAAACTATTTATTCCAGTCTCCAGAAGTTTTTACCACTAAGCAAGGAAGGCTAAGCTATCCCCTGGAGAGGGACATCCCAATCTGCCCTAGGAGGTGGGAAGTAGCTATGAGGGGCAGTCTGGCCCTGGAGTATCTCTAGCTTTAAGTAGCTACAAGGCAGCTTTTTGGGACTGTCCTAGATCCTCCCCAGGTCATCAACCTGAGTGGCTTCTTGACAGGAAAACGAGGGATGCAGGGACAGCAAGCTGGGAAGGAGCTCCACTCCCATGGTTTGCTCAGTGTATCTATCACACAAGCCATGGCATCAACACAGTCCTCATGGGGCTATGGCTGGTGTCCTTTACACAAAGGCAGCACTTGCTCACATAGTGACTCCCACCTCAGTCTCCATCAATAAATGTCAGCTGTGTATAAAACAGATCCAAAAGCTGTGGGCCCACTTTGCCAATTCAAGAAAGTGAGCTTATGAGCCGGCAGAGTGGCTCAGGTGGTAGAGCACCTGCCTAGTAAGAGTGAGGCCCTGAGTTCAACCCCCAGTACCACCAAAAAAAAAAAATGTCTGGAAGGAATCCAGATGGTAACCTCCTGCCAGAGGCAGCTCTGCAGCTTCCCTACCTGCTTGCTGCTCCCCAACCACCTCACCTGACCTGGGGATCAGCTCGTTACTACACTGTTGCCAGAACTCTGAAGACCCTTAGCAACAAAGAAAACTCCCTTCTGGCATAAGGCACTATTTGAAACCTGTTTCCAAAGAAGATAACAGAAAATGATGCCATTTATAATGAAATGCCCATGGACCCACGTTTTTTTTCATATTCTTGTTCCAAAGGCACAATAACGCCATCATCTTCATCCAGGTAACCATAGTACTCAAAATCGATGGCCTTCATGAGCTCAGCACGCGTCTTCCTGGGAGGAGGAAGGGCTGCAAGAAAAGCAGCAACTTAGCTGAAGTCCCAAGTCACAATCACTCCTGCACCAAACTTCTCTATCCAGCTATACAACACGCACCAGCATGAAAATGACACAAAACTTCCATCATGCATGGGATCACATAAAGGGGACAACCCATTTTTAAACTGGTATTTTGTTCTAATTAGTGCATTTACAAAGAATCTATCTGTGGACTGGGGATACAGTTCAGTGGGCTTTTTTTTTTTTTTTTAATTTTATTCCTATGTGCATACAATGTTTGGGTCATTTCAGTTCAGTGTTAAAAGGACTTGCCTCACATACTCAAGACCCTGAGGGATCCCCAGCGCTGCAAAAATAAATAAACAAGTAAACAAATAAATAAGTGGAATTTATCTTAATTCTGGAAAAAAAAACTGGGAATATAACTAAGTAGTAAAGTGTACATTTAACAAACACAGGGCCTCAGGTTCAATCTCTAGCACCTCCAGTCTCCACTCCCCTGTAAACAACTCAAGTCCACAGTAAAGCTTTATGGACAGAGATAATGTATTACGGCACTATTTCTATAATAGTGAAAAGCTGAGAATAATCTAGGATTATAAGTCACAAGATGTGTGTGGAAGGGACAGCCTGAAGATTCTATAATGCTGTCTCACAAAGTGCTCTAACAACATAGCAAATGTCAATGTCAAATGAAAAAAAGGCAGCCAGGCACTGGTGGCTCACAACTGTAATACCAGCTACTCAGGAGACAGAGATCAGGAGAATCACAGTTCAAAGCTACCCCTTAGCAAATAGTTCCCTAGACCCTACCTCAAAAATAACCTTCACAAAAAAGGGCTGGTGGAGTGGCTCAAGGTGTAAGCCCTGAGTTCAAACCCCAGTACGGCAAAAAGAAAATGAAAAAAGGCATGATGCAAACCCTGAATACATGGACAAAGGAAACTAAACAAAGTAAACTAGAAAGTTTTGAAGTAGGTATTTCAGACTAAGAATTACTATCTGGAATTTTTTCTTTTTTCTTTTTTTTTTTTAGGAAGAAGCAAAGATGTATTAAGACACCATTAAAAGGGGACAGAATTGCAGGCAACTATACCAAGGAACACAGCACCTGGAATATTTAATTCTTCAAAATCCAAAGGAAGCCAGGCACCAGTGGCTCACGCCTGTAATTGCAGCTACTTAAACCAAGCCAGACAAATAGTTCTCAAGACCCTATCTCGAAAAAACCCAACACAAAAAAAAAAAGGGTTGGTGGCATGGCTCAAGGCGTAGGCCATGAGTTCAAGCGCCAGTACCATACATACACACACACACACACACACACACACACACACACACACACGCACACAAAATTCCAAAAGAAAATGACAACCTAACAAATTGATCAAAGAAATAAAACTGACAATTTAAGCAGAAAAAACTAAAATGAAGATTTCAATTAGTAATTAAATTCAGTTATCAAGTTCATTAATCAGGAAATAAAAAATAAAAACATCTTTCATTCATCAAATTAACAAAAAAACTTTATAATTATGAAAAACTGAGGTCAGGTGTGGTGGCTCAAGCCTGAAATCCCAGCTACTTGAGAGGCAGAGATCAGAAGGATTTCAGAGGGCCCTAGCTTTCTTGCTGGAGGACCCCCCTCCACAGAGTTCCTTCTCACACATAAAGCCTGTGCTGACATTTAAAAAAAAAAAAAGATTTTGGTTTGAGGCCAGCCTGAGCAGAAGGTTGGTGAGACCTCATTATAACCCATAAGCAGGTATAGTGGCAAATATCTATCATTCCAGCTACATGGGAGGTATAAATAGGGCAAAAAAAAAAAAAAAAAGTGCTGGGCACCGGTCTCACACCTGTAATCCCAGGTACTCAGGAGGCAGAGATCAGGAGGATCACAGTTCGCAGTCAGTCCCCAGCAAACAGTCCTGAGACCCTATCTCGAAAAAACCCAACACAAAAAAAAGGGCTGGCAGAATGGCTCCAGTGATAGAGCACCTGCCTACCAAGCATGAGGCCCTGAGTTTAAACCCTAGTACTGCCACAAAAAAAAAAAAAAAACAACACCTGAACATAACTAAAGGCCTACCAATGGAGGAATGGTTAGGTCAAGTATGCTTAAGTATGATTATCTTTTTAAAACAAAATTTTGTTTTACAAGACTAATGATGGAATCCAGAGCCTCATGCAGGCAACTGTCACTAAGTCACACCCCATAATGCTTCTTAATCTTCATATCTGAGTTCTAAGAATTCTAAAAGTACCTATGGGAGGTATCAAAAAGTATCCCAATACAGCAGGGTGTGGGAGGCAGAACTGCTGTGTTAGTAACAGCAGTGATCAACTCCTTAAGACCTTCAGTCCATGTCCTGTAAGTGGTGGTCATCACAATGGCTAGACCTAGAGCAGGGCATAAGCTGCCTGGTCAGCTCAGAACACTGAATTTCTTCTAACCACAGAGTTGTTTAAGAATGGAAATTATGGAAGAAAAAAAGAATTCAATTGAATTCTTATGGGTTAGAGTGTAGCTCAGTGGTAGCCATTTGATGAGCATGCACAAGGCCATGGGTTCAATTACCAGCACTGCCAAAACAAAAGGAAAGAAAAGAATGCAATTTTGGGCAAGTGCCAGTGGCGCTGGGAGGCTGATAACTGGAGGAGCGCAGATTGAGGCCAGCACAGGCAGATAGTTCACGAGCCTCCATCTCCAAAATACCCAGAGCAAAATGGACTGGAGGTGTGACTCAAGTGGTAGAGTGCCTGCTTTGCAAGCACAAAGCCCTGTGTTCAAACACTAGTCTCACAAAAAAAAAAAAAAAAAAAAAAAAACTATTTTGATTTAATCAATGCCAACTACACTCATTTCTGGGAACTCTGCTTGAATTGCTGCCCCTGGGGTTTCAGTGAGGCAATGAATTCACTTTTCTGGGTAAGTCAACTGGGTTTGAATCATCTTCACCTGCACAGATGAAATGAGCATCTAAGTGCCTGGGATGGGGCAGCAGGGGACTGGAGCTCTTTCTGTCCCGTGTGATTATGCTCAGTGAGACTCACTTATGAGCCAGGTGTGGTGGCGCACACCTGGAATCCTATCACTAGAGTCAAAGGGGGGACGAAAGATCTGGAGTTCCATGCCAGCCTAGGCTACATAGCATGACCCTATCTCTCAAAAGGAAAAAAAAATCTGGGAATAATTCCTACACACCAGACTGTTGTGCTGCTCAGGAAAAGTACAAAAGGAACACAGGGCATACGGTAGGTATATCTACTCTTACTGCCAATGATTAAAGGCTAAACACAAGTCACTTACGTTCCTTTTCAAACAGCTCTCTAACACCAGGCAAATCCTTTGCTGCTCCAAAGTACTTGTAGCCTCGGTTTCCTGGGACTTCTTTACCTTCATGATCCAGCATTTTAGGGCCAACTTTCTTATTGGGAGGGAAAAAGAGATAGTGGATCTGATTCATAAACCTACTATTTCCATGTTTGTAAATATATATTAAAACAATATTAAACATGAAAAAATACTTATGTACACAGAAAAAAATTTATGTACCTCTTTATCCCTTAAAAATTAACCTAAATAGGATCTAAATAGGCATATTCACTGGTAGAATTACCTTATACCTTAAAATGATGGTTCTTATAAAATTCTTATACTGACCTACAAAAACATTTATGAGGTAGTGACAAAAGATTTTTTAAAAATTGCAAACCACAGTCAGTAGAAGACAAATGAAACACATCCAGAAGACGGAACTGTACATATTAAAAACCTCAACAACTACATGTCCTGTGCGAGTATGGACCAGGTCCTATTACAGACAACACTGGTGGGAAAACCAATGAAAGGGCCAGGTGGATTAGATAAAACTACTGTATCCAAGTTAAGTTTCTTTTTCTTTTTTTTTTGTGGTACTGGGGCTTGAACTCAGGGCCTACACCTTCAGCCACTCCACCAGCCCTTTTTTTTGTGTTAGGTATTTTCGAGACAGGATCTCAAGAACTATTTGCCCAGGCTGGCTTCAAACATGCATCCTCCTGATCTCTGCCTCCTGAGTAGCTAGGATTAGAGTGTGAGCCACCGGTGCCTGGCTCATAAGCACATACTCATTCTTGGAAAATACACACATTAGTATTAAGGGTAAGTGCAGGCGCATGGTGTTAAACCTGCCGATCAAATGGTTCACAACACATAAATCTCAAAGTATACACAGAGAATAAAGAAAATACAGCAAAATATTTTAAAAAAAAACTTGTATATTCCTATAAATGGCATATAGTCAGAACATGAATCAATTCCCATGAAAATACATATGTCTGGAAAACATTCTAGGAAGAGAAATGTTCCCAACAGTTATTTCTGGGTGGTAGAAAAACATAATGCACATGTGATATAATATGGAACGTATATACACTTTTTTTCAGTACTGGAGATTGAACCCAAGCCCTCATGCTTTCTAGGCAAGTGCTCTACTGCTTGAATTACACCCCAGCCCTTTAGTTTTTGTTCAGAAACTTGCCTAGCACATGAGAGGCCTGGGTTCAATCTCCAGCACCACAAAAACAATTAAAATTTAAATTTTTTTTAAAAACTAAAAGCTCAGTGGAAGGTAATTTTCAAATAGCTGCACCTAGGTGGTGGCATCAGGACTGAATGTTGTTCCACTTCTTTGAACTTTTCTGAAGAACACATGTAAACACAGTGTTGAATCTGGGTGGTAGAATTTGTGATTGTTAATCCTGTCAAATTGATTAGATTGAGAGCTGCTAGGAGATTAGTAAAGCACCCCCTGGGTGTGTCTGTGAGGTGTTTCCAGAGAGGATTAACTAAGGCAGGAAGACCCATCCTGAATGTGGGTGCACATCCCACAGGCTGGAGGCCCAGGTAAAATAAAAGGCGACAGTCCTTGGTGTAGGCATACTCTCTCTTTCTTCCTCTCCTTCCCTCCTCGATCCCTCTCCCTTTCTCTGCCCGTTTCTATCTCCTTCCTGGATGCCATGATATGAGCTGCTTTCTCTGCTCTGCCACACCCTCTCCACCACGATAAGACTTGGAGCCAAAGTAAATCCTTCTGCTCTTAAGCTGTTTCTCTGGTATTCTATCACAGCAAGGAAAGTCTGGCTGACACAGGACTTAAGAATATTTTACATATTAATTTTTTTAAATATTGATGGGTTAATAAACTTCTATGCCACTTTAAAGCAGTATAAGAGGAAAAAGAATCTCCATCACAGAAGTGCTGAAGATGTTAAGTAAACAATCCAAGCTAATGCCCCCAGCACAGCTTACAGGAGACTTCAGTGCCTTTCCTCCTGCATTCAAAGAGCTCACTCTTTTTTCATACCACATCCTAAAGTGACAATAAAAGCAAAAGACTAACACACAGAAAAACTGATGGTACTTCTGACCTAACATATTACAGACCTCTGATGAGATACCACTTGTATCTCACGTAGGCCTCCCAACCAATGACAGAACAGGCTAGGTTTTGGGCAGCAGTTTTCAAAGTCAAGACCCATTAATGGGTGATGATATCAGTTAAACAGGTCACAACTGCCGACTTCTAAATATCAAAATAAAACAGAATAGAAAATATCAAAGTACACTCATGACACATTTTTCAGCACATTTTTGTATGTGGTAGGTTGCTATATATGTGTACATGTGCATGCAGCATGAGTGTTTCATAACAGATCATAATCCTAGAAATTTGAAAGCTAGTGTTCTAGAGTATTGCATTTATAGAAGTCAAAAAAAAAAAGAAAGAAAAAAACAAATGGACAGAATGGAATGTCTCTGGCAGAAAGAAGCCAACAAAAAGGTATCCAAATTTCCCATGGAGTTCAGAGGATGTAAACAGGCCATGACATTTTAAACAGGGGCCCTGATGCTCCAAGCCTGTTCTGTGAAGTCCTACAGGATCATGCTGTCCATCCTTTTCACAAGTGTCCTGCCCACACATAATAGGGGATCTTCAAGCCTTTGGCTATCAATGGCTCCTGTATGGCAGGCTTGGGCTGGGAGCTTCAGGGCATGCAAATTCGTCAGATGGCCCCACGTAGCACTGAAGCTGTGGCTTACTTACTCCATAGTCAGGGCCACCCAGCTCCTTTATCCGGACCTCCCAGTGTCCTTTCTCCCTCAGCAGCTTGTTAATTTCATCATTCAGGTCTCGAATTCGGAATTCACCTAAACCAGCTAAAAAACAAAAAAGTTAGTATACATTCTTCAAAACAGCATACTCTTAAAAATGAATGTCAACACCCCCAAAGGCATACATGAAAATACTTATCTAAATTAGTAAGAAAAACCACCAATACCCAACTAAATGAAGAACCAAGGATTATACAGCTTCCACTAGCATAAGAGAAAAAAGTCCTTAAAAAAACCTTCAACTTCATTAGCAACCAAGGAAATATAAACTGAAATAACCCTGCAGTCTCATTTATATAACTATGAAAAAGACAAAATTTTAAGGGGTAGGGGCCAAGGGCAGCCTCTAAGGCCAGCAAGGGCATAGTAAAGCTGATATAAGTGCTCAGAGTATGTTTTATTTTGGTGTGCCCTTTTCTGTGAGGTGGAGGGTTGTTAGGTGCTTCATTCTATAAATGTCAGCTGGGTCCATGTGACCGCCAGTATCATTCAGCTTGTTTCCAACTCCCTGTCCTATTGATTATTGGAAGGAGTGTTGCAGTCCCAAGTCTAACTAGATTTAAGAATCAAACACTTTAAAAAGACAGTTAGCTTACCATTCTGAATCTGAGCTACTTTTTTTGATATCTCTCCAATGATCTGTGGAGAAAAAAAATACATTGTTGATTATCTCTAAAAGCACAGGAAAACTGTAATTCAAAACTAGTAATTAAAAATACTTAGAATTCTGGTTTAAGAGTCACTAGACAAAAAGAAGCAAGCAGAAACTTGTTACTTCTACTGAGATCAGATTTACCAGGATGTACCTGTCGTCTCCACTTCTCAGCTTTGGGCAACTCGGTACATTCAGAAGCAAGGAAGGGTCTTCGTTCCTAAGGAGAAGCATAGCAATATCACATGTTGCCACAAGTGACTCAGGCCTGAAGCCTGAAATGCCTATTGGTCTAAATACACTTGAACTTTCCAGTTCCACATGGTCCCCAACCAAACACAAACCCAATGCTCTGAATCTAGTACAGTGAAATGCTGCAAACAACTGAAATATCCAGAAACAGAAAACTAAATAAACAGGCCACTATTTCATGGTATATTTATACTACTTTAAGAAATTATGGCTTTCAGGGTTTAAAACACACATACATACACATTTGAAAGTATATACAACTAAGCCCACCTGACTTGTGGATTTACACGTGTGATTTTGACCAAGTACAGTCAAAACACATAAATTTTTTTTTTTTTAGTACTGGGGTTTGAACTCAGGGCTGAAACCTTGAGCCACTCTACCAGCCCTCTTTTGTGATGGGTTTTTTTCAAGATAGAGTCTCGAGAACTATTTGCCCAGGCTGGCTTCTGACCATGACCCTCCTAATCTCTGCCTCCTGAGTAGCTAGAATGAACAACCAGAGTCTGGCTGAAACAAAAATTTTTAATTCCTGAATATACATTACACAGCTCAGTTGATGCGGGAAGTTCTCAGGAGGGTTACAGCTGTTCCCCACATCACACTCTATCCCCTACTATTCAATATCAGACACAATGGGAATAAAAATGGGATCCAGTCATCATTTTAGAGAAAAAATGGAAAAATAAGCAATCAGAAAATCACATGGCCCCAGATAGAGGGAGGTACACCTGGAGTTCAAGTGTCAGCAACACACACAGGAGGAGTTGCAGTTTGGTCTACTCAGGAAGGGGTTACACTGCATCTATTCTGGATACTTTACAACTCATGAGGAAGATTTACACCAACCTTCACTTTTCCCTCTTCCAGCTGAGCTTGGCGAAATCTTGCTAAGGCCGTCCTAGCAGGGACATAAAAGATTCCATTAGATCCTGTTCACAGATTTCCTATCACAAAGTTTCTGCATGGGGTAGATCTACTTGTGACCACATTTAATGCCACTCATATAAATGGCAATTAAGAAACCAGAGTAGTTAAGGATTTCCATGTCCCAATAATTAGGCCTTACAAGGCCATTTGTTTGCTGAACACCCAAGTATCTACTTTATTTACATGGCAGGTAAGGACTGTAGGAAATACTGGTCAGATCACTGTGATGAAAAACACATTCACATGTTAAAGGAGTTATATCATGGGGTGCCCTAACCGTCATTCTCATACTATCTGCAGGTGTACAAATGTTCATTCAGTGTAAGTTCTGGAAGCTGCCAGAAAACAGTGATGAAGAAAACAAATGGGAAAATATGGGAATGCTATTTTAACACATACAGAGAAGGAAACCCCTTCTCAAAAGATTCATGTGCCAAAAGAACCAAATACAAGGAGTTCTATGGTAGTTACAAAAAATTTTTCAGTAAAAACTCAGTAGATACTCACATGGCCTTTTCTGCATTTCGGGCCTGGAAGGAGAGAGCAGGGGGAAAAGGTTTAGAATACCTCTTTTAAATGATTATTTATTTTTTGGGGGAAGGGGGTAAGAAAACAGGGTCTCATTATGTAGGCCCAGGCTTGCCTGGAACTTTTGATCCTCCTACCTTAGCCTCCTGAGGACTGGGATCAGACGTGTGTGCCACCATTCCTGGTTCCACTTACTTTTTTTTTCCCCTTTGTTGGGACTGGGGTTTGAACTCAGGGCTTCACACTTGCAAAGCAGGTGCTCTACCACTTGAGCCACACCTCCGGTCTGCTTAGCTCTGGTTATTTTGGATATGGAGTCTCATGCCTAGCCTTGAACTAGTCCTATGGATCTCACCCTTCCAAGTAGCTAGGATTACAGGTGTGAGTTATTGGCACCCAGCCTTCATTTACTTTTTTAGTGAAAACTTTTACAAGGACACAGGCAACAAGCAGAATGCTTGAACTGCTCTATGAACAACAAAAGAACAAAAGATTTCCAAAGCCTTATGACTTAGGCAGCTCCTCCCTCTACTTAAAATCTTTACTCCTCCACTGTCCATTAACTTCCATCCTCCTTCAAATTTTACCTGTCACCACCACCCAGACCAGAAAGTTCTTCTGTACCCCTCTTTCCCAGCCAGGCGAGTGCCCTTTGTCTAAGTTATACTTATCATGGCTCCTACCACCCAACATCACAACTGTTCCCTGCCAGCCCGAAGACTGGCTTTTGCAAAGTGACTTTATGTAAGCATTGTCACACTAGTGTCAAATCAATTATCCCTGAAACCTAGGGTCAGGCAGAGAACATATTTACTGGGGTGGTTTATATATCACATAGAGTACTGGCTGACTCAGGGACCTGGACTTTACTCCCAGCTCTCTGCTCACCATCACTGACCAGTGGTCTCTGTAAATCTCAATTTCTCCATCTTTAACTGGAGATGTTATCTCTTACCTCACAGAAATGTTGGCATGACTTAATGAGATAAATATATGAAGATGTATTCAGGTTACAATACAGCAAAAATGGGCTCGATTTAAACATTTCAAACTCTCTCAAACAACTCAGAAAGAAAGGTGGCAGATGCTGGGTGGATAAAGGAACTGGCAGCAGTCTGGGACACACCCTCCTACAGTAAAGGATGATTCTAGGCAATGGCTTCTCACCTTTTGGGACCATGTGCCCAACAAACTACAATGGTTTCCAAAACATCTTCTATAACTATGCCACAGCATCATGTGCTTAATTTTTAGGTATATTTTTATTTAACAGAGGATGTATTTGTACGTATCTGTGAGTGTACACACACCATACTTGTATTAATGGGTTTTCTTCTATTTGGTATGGTGAAGCACTCCAGATTGGCAAGGCTATATAAGGATGTGAATAAATTTCTATTTTTTACATATATACAAATTTATATGCCTATGTATATGCCTGCGTGTGTTCCATAAGTACACCTTTCTCTGTGTGTATAAGTAAACATCTATCAAACAAGGCTATGTTGGGCGGGGAGCGGTGGCATACAGGCCTCAATCTAGCATTGCTGACCTTGGAAACATCGCCATATCCCGGAGGTCTGCTCCCCTAGTGTACTTCTCATAGGGTCTTCGTTTAATGAAGGTATTGTAGTGACCAAGCCTCTCTCTACCGACACTAAGTGCTTTCTCTTATTTACACAACTCAAGGCTTCGGGAACAAATGCACAGACCAACAAACCACGCCCGCCTGCGCCATCCATTAGCTCACTGCATCCCCGCCTTCACGTTCCGTAGCCGGGCAGCAGTGAAGGGGGCGACGGTGAGAGGCCCTAGCGTCTGGAGGAGAACCGGCACGGATGTAATCCTACGACACCAGACTCCGCGTCTCCTCCGGGCCTGGACAACCCGGCCGCGCCAACACCGACAACGGAAAGAGCATCACTAGGATGGAAGCCCGGTCCGAGATGCTACGGCAATTCCGAGAAAGCGTCCCCAGGCTACGCCTAAGGAGTCCGCGGCCAGCCGGGATGCAGCGGGTCGCAGCGCCGCGAGCGCGCGGAAGGCATTGGGCGCTCGCCGTGCCCACTTATCCGGTCCTCACCCCAGCCCACTCACCATGATGCGGGAGAGGGCGCCTCCCGGGCGCCACGCGGCTGCGGGCCAGGAAGGTCGACCGCCTCCGACAAGGCGGATCCTCGCAGGAACTGAAGATCCTAACTGCCAACAGAGACTGGTCTTTTTGTCGGAAAGATAAACGGAAGGGACCGGAAGTGAGGAACAGGAAGAGACTGTGGAGAACCGAGAGCGGAAAGAAATGTAGGCGCGCTCCTGTGGGCTTCCTTCCCGTGGCTTGCGTACAGTGCGTCATCGCGCGCCGACGTCGTGGGGGAGGGTGCTTGGCAAAATTAGGATTGCGTAGTGACTGGAGGCTTTCTGACAGCCAGTTTAGTTCTCGCGGCAACAAGCATTTCTCGCGTTAATTGCTGGCTGTGTGGCTGCTGGGATCGCTTGGTACTATTGGGCAGATGCCGCCGGAATTGTCCATCTTAATTCTTCTGATGGCCCTTTTTGGAAACTCATCTCTAAACTGTCATCACTAGGCCAGGGACGGGACCAGGGGACTGGGCGGTAGCTAGTCAGGGTACCGGCTTCGGGGCGGCGGGGCGAGCCAGTTCTTGAGGCCACCCTCCTCCAAAGTCCGAAGTTAGTGTGGGGGAGGGGGAAAGAATGCCACCTCATGGGGAGAGGGTGGCTAGGCGATTGATAAGTCGTCCCAGAGATGCGGTCAGCGTGATGGCCTGGCGCTGGGCAGAAGACCGCAGAGACCTCCGCTAGGAATGGCGGTGGGCTCTCACACGGCCTCGGCATCAAGGTGGGCCGCGATGTGGAACTGGAGCTAGGGCCTGCCTGGGCGAGTTCACCTTTTCCTGTTTGGAGACCTAGCCAGTGATACGCACCCGGGCTGCAGCCAGGAGGCGCCGTTCGGGGCTGGCAGGACAAGTACTCAGAACAGCCTGCGGGATCTTCTAAAGTGGGAATAGGGCCACCCTGCTGGGTGTCCATCTTCCTATCTCCGGCAGCTGGGAAGTGAGTGTGTAACTTGATGACCAGTGGCGCTTTGGGCCAGAAGCCCTAAATCTGTCGCTTCTCCCACTTGGTGCCCAGGAGCCTGAGATTTCTGCTGCAGCCCTTCCCGGATGAATTCTCAAAAATGTTACAGAAATTAATGTATTGTGGATTGAGGGCATGGCTCAAGTGGTAGGGTGCAGTTCTAGCAAGTGCGAGGCCCTCAGTTCAAACCACAAAAAAATAAATAAATGCATGCCAGAGTCCCTGTGGTCTGAAACCTGAATTCTGTCAAATGAGAAATAAATTTCTTGTTTAAGCCATTGCATTGGCGGGGGGGGGGGGGTTGTATCTTGTTACAGTTTACCATTACCTTAAATATCTGATCCCAAACAAGTATTGCCATTCCTCAAGACATCCCCATTCTGCTCTAGGATGCAGAATCTACATATTTGACTGAAGGGCACAGTCTGCAGGATTTGAGGGCCTTAATCTATGTTGTCCTAAAATCCATTCTCCCTACCCATTTACCTGAATTCTATTTGAGGAACCTTCAGTTCTGGGGAGGGAACTGCATTCCTAGGTTTAAGAGTGAAACAGGGAAGATAGGTGAAGTTGATCTCACTAGGCAATGACTGATATGCCCAAGACCCAAGGTAACCAGTCAGCCTCAGGACTTGCAGTGCTACACAGAATCCATTTTGCAGTCCAACTTTTTTTTTTGGCTGTCCCATTTTAATTTTCTTTATTATATTCATATGTGCTGCAGTCCAACTTTAGAACTCAGAACATTTGGTGACAACACAGTTGATCAGTGAGATCTTACCTCAAGCCTGCTATTCAATCTTCAGTTATCTGAACCAGTAAATTCCTTTTGGTTTTAAAACCGGTAAGGGCTTTCCAGGTTCTTGAAAGTCACAACATCCTGATTATGCCATTTCTCGATGCAATGTGAGCCTTTCCTTTGCTCACACTGATCCTGCCTTTCTCCATGTTGTTCCTTTTCCCTGCAACATCCTTTCCCCAACCCCTTCCCAAATGACTGATCTGCGTGGTTGCCACCTACTTCTTTGAGTTTATCCTGCTTGGATTCATAACCTGGTTCAACCACTTACTAGCTTTCTGGGCTCTGGTATTTTACTCAATCTTGTAATTTTCTGCTATGTAGCTGGCATAATAATGTTTACCTTTTCACTTCTTTTACCTCTTCCATTAAATTGAAACACTATATAAAGTGTTAAAAACAGACCTATGCAACGTTCTCAGTAGCTATTTCAAAAACAAAAACCTGATGCTCTACAGTCAGATATATTGAGGCCTTACCTAGCCCCTATGTGTAGTCAGCGAGGCTATGCTCAGTGCCTTGCAGGACTTCAACAAACAAGATTTACTACTCAAATTATATCATTTTTCATCTCTATCTCCACCTGGCGTAAGTCTGCCATATGATTTGATGACTGAAATAATAAAGCAGAAACAAAGGCACTACCTTGCCTTCTTTCTGTACTAATGGCTCCAATTTACATTGCTTCCTAGTCACAGCATTTTTGTTTCTGTACTCGTTACCAAGGTACTATTTTTATATACCTGTGATCCATGATTAGATCAGTGATCTATTATTAGATCTACTCACTAACCTGTTAAGACAGGAGTTGTAAACTTGGGGCCAGCAGGCCCCAATTATACCTACAGGGATGCTTTAACTTACACCATTATAGAAATTAGAAAAACTCACCTAAGAATCTAACCCACATTCCTGCATAGCAACCATCAACACAGGTGAAAATTTGTCTTATCAGTCCATATTGTAAGCATGGTAGAATAATGTAATGTACTTACACTGGGTGAAATAAACCTTTCAGTATCAGAAATATCCTCAGCTGTCCAACCCATAAATCAGAGGCAGAAATTTTGCTTAAAACTCATGGATGTCACTTAGCCTTCTAAGGGCTTCAAATACTGTTCTTCACTATTTTAAGTATTTGCTGGAGGTGTGGTAGGCAGGAAAACCGCCCCTAAGTATATCCCCAAAACCTGTGAATTGTTACTTTACAGGGCAAAAGGACCTTGAGCTGGAAGACCATTACAGATTATCTAGCAGTGTATCACAAAGATCCGCCTCGAAGAGGTGATCAAGGCCAGAGTCAGAGATGTGACTATGATATGTGAGCCAAGGAATGAAGACAGCCTCTGGCTGCTGGAAAAGGTAAGGAAAATATTCTTCTCTTGAGCTTCCACAAGGAAAGCAATCTGCCAACACTTTCCATTTCATAATACCCACTTAAACTTGACTCCCAGCACTTTAAGCTTGTACTGTTTTAAGCCACAAGGCTTGTGGTCATTTGTTACAGCAGCAATATGATTCTGATACCTAGGAATGGAGTGCTGCTGTAACAAATAACTAAAAGTGGAGGAGGGGCTTTGAAATTGGGCTATGGGCAGAAGCTAAGGAATCCTGATGACAAAGCCTAAAATGATCTATCCAGATTGTCAGATGAAAAACAGATGTTATCAACCCTGCTAGTGAGGACTCAGAAGGAAATGAAGAGCACAAGAGAGAGAGCTTGGTCTCAGAAGATGCTGAGACCATCATAAAAACTCTAAATGAGATGTGGACAGTAAGAGATATTCTGGCAAGGACTCAAGGAACTTGAGAAACATTCATTGGATTTTTTTTTTTTTTTTGAGATATAATCTACATAGCTCAGGGTAGCCTAGAACTCTTGATCCTCCTTCCTCAGACTCCCAAGTGCTGCTGGGATTAGACCTGAGAAGCGACACACAGCAAGGAACATGTTACTGGAAACTGGAAAGGGGATCCTTAAATAATAGCAGAAACTTAAGCTGGCCTGTGTCCTACTAGTTATGTGAGAAACAGAACTTATACACAAAACTGGATATTAAACTCAAGTTTCCTGGTTTCTTTCATACAGTAAAATATGAGGGGTTCGGATGTAGATCATGGTAGAGCACTTGCTTTAGGTTCATTCACCAGTGCCACAAAAAAAACAAAACAAATTTTAGTAAAATGCTGTAAAAGACAAAATAAGGGAAGACCTATTTTGCAAAAGACGCTAAAATTAGAGGATTCTGTCAAGTGTGCTCTGAGGATAAAAGTCAAAGGTACAACTGGGCAACCATTTTCTACTGACCCAAAAAGATCAAAAGATCAGAACATCTTTAGAAACAGGTGACTCACAGATCCCCAACCATCTAGACAGAAGCCAGGAATAGAGATAAGATTATCCCAGCTCCATCTATAGAAGAGTCTCCTGTCTAATGGATGAATCCCACATTTTTTGAAATCTTTTAAAAAAAAGTATCCATTTAATAAAACATATTTTTAAAGTTGATATGGAAGACATTTATACACCTAATCACTTATTTTGTAAATATTCCAATTCTAAGGCATTTTTTGTTGTTGACCTATGATTCAAAAACCTACTTAATGACGTTTTATAAAGAGTAGATAAAAACTTGGCAGCTAAGATCATGATCTAATTCCTGGAATCACAAATCCTAGGTTACAGTTACACATACTGGAATATTCACTCTCTTCCACCCACAATATAGAATTAGCAAGTGTTTGAAATTGAAAGTCAACAACAAATTAAGTTCTTGCTTCTGCTCTTAGGTGTACTGTTTGAGTATTTAAAAAAAAAAAAAAAAAAAACCCTGCCTCCAAATTTTTGTCCTCCACAGAAAAAAGGCCTATGAATGGAATTTCTAAGTTTTGCCATTTTATCAAATCAGATTCAGTGTGTGTAAACAATCACATAAAATATTAGTGAGCAAATAGTCACAGCTTGGAGATGTTACCTCACCTGTTACTGGACATTTATCACTTACATATATTTTTCCAAGTTAAAAATACCACATGAACAACACACAAAACCAAATATATTTTATGTCACACCTCCCCCCCCAAGTACTGAACAAGAATTCATTTAGGGTTTATCCCTAGATCAGGCAGTTTCCTGATCATGAACTATTCAAGTTTAATCCATTCTTTACCAGAAGGTCCCCAAGAGCTTCAGATACATTAGGGAATACCAGTTTGCTATCAAAACCTTCACTAAGGAATCGCAAGTAACAGTAAACTTCCTCGTAAAGACTCTGTAGAGTGGCTGAAAATAGATAGCTATGAAAGTTATGTGTAATGAGTGTAACTTAAATTCTAAGGCAAGCAAAAAGGGTAATTAAATGTACACCACAGCAATTAAGAGCATAAGTACCGGGGCTGTTCTCAAATTCCAACTCTGCAACTACAACCTTGAGTTATCTAATCCAGTAATTTTCAATATTATAGCACCTTAGAACCATCTGGAAGTCGGTAAAATATGAGTGGCTGAGGATCTACCCCTAAAAAATGCTAAGTCAAATGCCTGTGACTAACTACTACATGAAATTGTTAGGATTTTTGCTTTGAAACTGTATGCACAGTTCTATCCAGAACAGTACTGTCCTGAGGTTTTATACTACGCTTTGCAAAGTAAGCATTTACTGGTCACTGCCATAGCCCCAAATACTTCAGGATTATTACACACTAAAATCCACTGCAAAAGCAATGTTGATCAAAATGTTTTAGAAAACTTGCAACTTTTGAGTTATCGCCTTAACCTCTCGGCCAGGACTTTTGTTTTTTGTTTTTTGTTTTTGAGATAGGGTCTCACGAACTGTTTACTTGGGCTACCTTTGAACTGAAATCCTCCTGAACTTTGCCTCTTGAGAATCTATGATTACAGATGTGAGCCACCATTGCTCTTCCAACAATGGAGAATTAAATTACACTATCAACCTCACCATAAACACAAACATATACAGAAGAGAACTAAAGGGTATAGCTCAATGGTAGAGCATTCTGATTGCAGAAAAGAACATGGTAAAAGACAACCATGCCCTTAAAAAGCTCTTCTTTGGGCTGTCTGAATGGCTCCAGTGTTAGTGTGCCTGCCTAGCAAGCATGAGGCCCTGAGTTCAATCCAAATACCACCACCCCCAACCCTCAAAATAAAGCTCCTCTCTGACACCAAAAGCACTCCAGGGAGTGGCTCAAGTGGCATAGCAACTGCCTAACAAGCACGGAACCCTAAATTCAAACCCCAAAACAAAATCCTTCAGGTCTTTTTAAATAGCTAAAGTTGAAATTTATCTGCTCCATATTCCCAATCAAAGTGATTCCTAGAAAACAGGTATTCTTATCTGAAATGCTCGGAACCAGTGTGGTAGATTTTGGAATGTATGTGTATACATGAGAGATGGTGGAGTATGGGTCCCAAATCACGAAATTCATTTGATTCATTTAAGCCTTTACCCACATAGCCCAGAAGTAATTTTATACATTTCTAGTTAACTGGGCTTTGGCCCATCATGAGCTTTGATATAAATTTACTACTTGTGGTATCACATCCACACTTAAAGTTTTGGACTTTTGGTATCTGTGAGCTCAACCTGCAGTCAGCAATCCAAAACCCTATTGTAATGATCCAAGGAAACTGTCTAAGTGTTTCACTGGATTCCATAAAATGCAAAATGGTAACACAGGCATGCCTTGGATGGAACCAATGTGTCAGTAATTCGATAAGTTTCTGTGCAATAAAGTGTACAAGAGCAGTTACCCACCACAGGGAAAAGGGGAAATTTGAAATGTCTAGGGAAAAATGCAGAAGCCAGTCAAATTAACACATTGTCTAAAAATTGTTCTTGCTAGGTAAGAGGGCTGGCCGTTGTGGTCCACACCTGTAATCCCAGCTATCAGGAGGCAGAGATCATGAGGATCATGGTTCAAGCCAGCCCAGGCAAAAGTTAACTAGACCCATCTCGACAACAAAAAAAAAGCTGGCCGTGGTAGCACGGCCTGTCATCCCAGTTATGCCAGAGGAGTTAAATAGGAGGATCACAGTTGAGGCTGGCCCAGGCAAAATCACCTGACCCTACATGAAAAATAACTAGAGCAAAAAAGCACCAGGGGTGTGGTTCAAGCCGTAAAGTGCTGGCTACCTGACAAATGAAAGGCCGAGTTCAAATCCCAGTTCTGGAAAAAAAACACATTTTTTTTTTTAAGCTGAAACTAATGATCAAGCAATTAGACTAGAAAATAAATGGGAATGCAGAAAAGCTAATGACACTGTAAGCAAGCAATACAGTTAAATACGATATTCAAGAAAACTGTTTTGAGGGTTAGGGGCACGGGCTCAAGAGGTAGAGCACCTGCCTAGTAAGTGCAAGGCCCTTAGTTCAAAACCCCAATACCACTAAAAGAGAACAGTTGTGGTCTCTTCAAAATCAAGACTATGCAGGGGAAAATGCGAACTATAAACTGGAGAATCCAAAACATTAACCAAATGCAAAGGCAATTCACACTAGATCCTGGTTTCCAGCCTCTTCCTGGGGATACCAAATTTATCAAGTATGATAACATTGATACTTCTTATAGAGATATCAATAAGGTCATTTCTATACCTTTACTTGTCCAATCTAGTAAGTTTACTCAAGTGTTTGTACACACTCATCATTCCTTTTAACTGTTCCTTTTGAAATTCTCCAAAGTCTTCAAAAATAAATCCGTAGGCAAGAGCCTACAAATTTGGTCATGTTATGGCACTGATGAAGCAGCTTCAAGAGGTGGACAGCGTAGCTATCTTAAAGGTAGTCAGACTTGAGGCCTGACTCAAAGCAGTACATCGCCCATCTGGCAAGTGTGAAGCCTAGTTCAAACCATGTATTGCCAGAACAAATAAATTAAAACCAAGGTGGCAAAAAGGCAGTTAAAAAATTTTATCCACTAGATAATACAAAACTCACTGCAATATCTATCTTTCCTTTAATCCCCTGAACTCCACGAGAAGTAAAAAAAAGTTTTTATCTAGATGTTTCCCAAATTCGAAATCACTTCTAATTATTAAGGCGGGGAGGGGAGAGATGAAGTGGAAATGTGGCTCAAGCAGTAGACAGGAGAGCAGCTGCTTTGCAAGTGCAAAGCCAGCAAACTCCAGTCCCACAAAAAAAAAAAAAAAAAAAAGAAACGAGGACAATTGGCTAGCACTTGTAATGCCCTATTCCTTCCCCAGCACTGGGGTAAAAGCAAAACAAGGAAAAACAAAACAAAACAAAAATAAAATAACTAGTAATCTAAAACTTCCATGGCACTCTCCTGTAATCCCAGTACTCCGGAGATGAGGCAAAAGGATCACTAGTCTGGGCTACGTAATGAAAAGGTCTCACAAAAACCTTCAATTCTGGGTATGGTGGTACACATTTGTAATTCCAGCTTGGGAGGTAGAGGTGAGTTCCAAGTCAACCTGGGTTACATAGTGAAGTCTAGTCTCCAAAAAATAAGTAAATAAGTAACAGCAACAACAAAAAAGAACCCAGATGTGGTGGATTACAGGCGTGAGCCACCAGCACCTGGCAACAGACTGTAATTTAACATCCGTCAGGATGAATGTATGCTGGCTCCTGTAAATTAACTTGATTTCCCTGTGAAATACAAATGCATGTTAAGTTTCTTCCAATCATCAAGGTCATGTTAGCTAAAGAAATTCTATCTTTTATAAAGGAACACTTTGTGTTCTGTCGGTAGTTGAAGGTCAGTTCTTAACTTTGAGTTGCAAAACAAAAAGCAGGTATCATATCACAAATGCAGAAATGGTGAGGCAAAGCAGTTCTAAATTTTAACAAACCCTCTTTCCCAATACACAAAGCTGAGTGAAACATAGCAGAGAGAACACTACTAATAATTAGAACTCAGTTCACCTAAAGGGCCACAGGGTATTTCAGCTGCTAAATTTTAGGTTTTCCTACATGAGACAAAAAACCTCCACCAGTCCCCAAACCCTCATAATCAACTCCACTTAACAGTGGTATCTTTGAAAACAGGTTTCCTACCTATGGTAGAAAATAAAATTATTAACACATCTAATGTGCTTGGTTAACATCTGAGATACACCATTTGCTGAGTAAAAACATCACAATAAAAAGATGCTAGCCAGGTGTTAGTGGCTCACGCCTGTATTCCCAGCTACTTAGTAGGCAGAGATCAGGAGGATCAGTTCGAGGCCAGCCTGGGCAAATACCTCATGAAACCCCATCTTGAAAAAGCTCATCACAAAAAACAGCTGGTGGAGGGGCTCAAGGTTTAGGTCCCGAGTTCAAAGTCCAGTACCACACACACACAAAAAAAAATTCTAAAAGATTGTACTCATAAGGATAGAAGACTATGCTGTAACCATGTTTTCTTGACAGTTGGAATGGGTACAGCATAGCTGAGACACCAGCACCTTAACACCAAGGGTGAAGAAGCACATGGCAGCAGGGACAGAATGCATCAGAGGGAGGGCGTAGGAAGTATGCTCGGGGTTGGTTCTAGGCCCTAACAAGATATTTACATCCTTCAAGCAAGCTAAGCTTTTATTAATTCATCTTCAAAGTAAATTCAGCTAACCCAGTTAATTTCTAAAATCCACCTCAACTCTAAACTCAGTTTCTAGGATCTCAATTGGGGGGGTGGGGTGGGGAATGTGGCAGAAAGAATCCAACATTTCAGATCCTTAGGAAGCACAGGAAAAATAAATGCTAAAAACCAGCCATGGTATTAAAACTCTTCCAAATGAACACAGAACCAAACAGGACATCATTACAATGGATTAGAGCATTATAACTGCAAACAAGCATCACCAAATTATCCAAACCTATGTGTCCTTGTGTCAGCAACTCCTTACTGAAGACATGACTAAATTAGTACAAAACGTGCAGCTGGTGGCTTGCAGTCCCTCTATAGTTCCCTCTTTAATGTGGCATTTCATGTTAATGAAAATTTTAAACAAACAAAAAGAACTTTAGTCAAACTCCCCTTCCTCCTCCAGCTTTATTGGAATAGTTTAAAATTACATTTTCTATTTTCTAGGACTTCAGTTGCTTTTTCCATCTGACTTTTAAAAACTGATTACAGCAAATGAAACAGTTGTCTAAGTGATATAGTATACAAAAATAACATCTTGATTTCTGTGAAAATGCATTTCTCTGCAATTCCTGAATAGCTCCAAATTATGCTAACTCTGAGCATTGATGTTTACTCTGGGTTTTAGATTTAGTCTTTGAAAATATGTATTCTAAACCTTTACCATCACCATCTGTATGTCCAGCATCAACGCTGCAATGAAGCTGCTCCTATTTAGGCTTTCATCCCGATTTCTCTCGCACAGCCATTAACACGTATATGTCTTTCATTTTGTTTACTCCCACTCAACTGTATGTTTATGAGGGCCTGATACAGATGTTACTTGATGTTATTTAATAGCTACTGAGGTCAGACAATCCAAGGCCATCATTATGCTAAAATTAAAGTTATTTATGGAAGTTCATAGACACTTCCAGAATTGGTTTTACCTCCTACATGGGAACATATTCAAGAAACCCAAAACGGGCTTAATGGTCTGACTCAACTCTTCCCATTCATCAATCCCTATTCACCAGTGGCACGGAAAGGGGGTTCTTTAACAAAGCATTATACATAACACCTCTACCAAACTAAACATAAACTTTTTTTTGTAGTTAAATGCAGAAAGTCGGTTTTTTTCCACCCCTTCCCCTTTTACACGCAAGTAAAGCTCACTGGCCTGGGAGTAGCCTCTATCTGCCAACCTTTGGCCAGTGAAGAGGATTCAGAGAAAACAATACAACCATCAATCAGAAAAAGGAGGGGCGACAAAGGAAAATAATTAGGCTGTAGCCTCAATCGTGCATTCCCGTGCAAGATGCCCTGACTCGCCACAGCGGTAACAGTTGACTTCACTTGTCTTGCTGCAATTGATGGCTACATGACCAGTTTCACCACACCTTTAAAAAAAAAAAAAAAAATTAGTTCTTACAATGGTGCTAGGAACAAGTAAAACATTCTAGTGAAGCAATAAAAAGCCATTAACAAGAAATACATTTTTCAACCTCATGCCAGTGGCTCACGCCTGTAATCCTAGCTATTCAGGAGGCAGAAATCAGGAGGATCGTGGTTCAAAGCCATCTTGGGCAAACAGTCTGCAAGACTGCATCTTGAAAATAGAAAAAAAAGGAAAAAAAAAAAGGACTGGTGGAGTGGCTCAAGGTGTAGGGCCCTGAGTTCAAATCCCAGTACTGGCAAAAAAAAAAAAAAAAAAGAAAGAAAGAAATACAGTTTTCTTTAAGACTATGGATCTTTTTTATGGAGATAATGTCTCACTATTGTAGCCCAGGCTGGTCTTGAACTCAATTCATCTACCTCAACCTCCTGAGTGCTAGGATTTACAGGTACCCCACCACACCACCCAGTTAAGACTATAAACCTTCATATTAATAAACTAACAGGAAGGACGAATTTGATACACAAAAAATTCTGCCAGGTGTGGTTAAACACTCCTGTAATTCCCCCAGCACTAGGGATGTGATGTAGGCAGAATGTATAAAGTTCAAAGCCACCTAGCTAGACCCAGCTCAAAACAAAACACCAAGAATCGCCTCTAAGAGATAAACATCAAATCCAAAAAACCAAATCATGACTGGCAGAGTGCTCAAGTGGTAGATCAAAGCCCTAAGTTCATAACCCACTACCAAAATATTAACAAATAAAAATCATATAGCCAAGATAACAGGAAGGACGAATTTGATACACAAAAAATTCTGCCAGGTGTGGTTAAACACTCCTGTAATTCCCCCAGCACTAGGGAGGCTGAGGTAGGAGAATGTAAAAGTTCAAAGCCACCTAGCTAGACCCAGTCTCAAAACAAAACACCAAATCTTGCCTCTAAGAGATAAACATCAAATCCAAAAAATCCAAATCATGAGCTGGCAGAGTGGCTCAAGTGGTAGATCAAAGCCCTAAGTTCAAACCCCAGTACCAAAAATTAACAAATAAAAATCATTAGCCAAGATGCTGTCGTGTGCAAATTAAGACCTAAGGTTTCATACACACATACCCTAAAACTTACCAAATTGTACACTTCAAATATGTACAATTTATCAAGCTACATTCAAACACCAATTATTTCTGGTTACACAAAATTTATGACATTATACAGCTTTTCATAAATTGTCTGGAAGCTTCAAGTTATTTTAACACTCATTTTTTTTTTTATTTTCACAAGTTCCATGCTTGTGCCATGTATTTAGATGCCTTAAACCAGAGGTTATCATGACAGAATACGTATTAACATGAACATAAGCTGCTGGCACTGTTCTCTGGTTACAAGCAACTTTCCTGAATGCACTGACCCACAAGGTCCTTCCACTTACACCTAACTCACCTCTGTAAGAATCTGCAATGAGTTTCCCGTTAGCAACATTCTGGTAACTCACCTGTAGCACTTCACTTTGGTGCAGTCTTTTTGAATGTGTCCAAATTCTCCGCAAGAATAGCACTTCTGCTCATCCGCGTGGTCACAGTCACGAGCCAGATGGCCTGGTTTGCCACAGTTGTAGCAGCATTGCTCTCGCTCTCTCTTGGGCTCCTTGCAGTCCTTGGCAATGTGGCCACCTCTGCCGCAGTTATAGCAGGCTTCAACAATAAGGAAAAGAAGCAAACCAAGACTATAAAACCCTTATGGTATTATGTGTCAAACATATGATGCAAAACTTCAAAGGTGGAAATCTTTCCCAATGCTCTGTGCAGTAGTACATGCTCACATCTCCAAACTGTAAAAGGGTTTGAAGTATTAAATACTTACCATCCTCCTGAAGATCACAATCCTTGGCAAGATGACCAGACTCACCACAGCGATAACAGATGTCTGGAAGAGATGAGGAAACAAACTGGAAACCTATTTTGATCAAAAACAAAAAAATTTGGCTAATTAGACCAGTCTTTATACTAACGAATATTTAAATACTTCAGAATTTTTTTATTCGACAAAAATACCTCTATCCGAGGTAAAACCACCTCTGCCACGGCTTCTCATTCCACGACCCCGGCCTCCACCAGTAGGGCATTCCCTGGCCCAGTGGCCAGATCGTCCACACTTGAAGCACTCATTGCTGCTCATGGCTGCAGTCAAAGCTTGGAAATATTAAAAAAGATAACATTAAAGCCTTCAAACTACTTTATATAAGTTACAAAAATAATCATACCTACATACTCCCGTATTGTGTACCTATTATAAAATGGGGTCTTCAAAACCATTCAAGTGAAGCACAAATGGATTAATAGGCAAGTTAGTAGTTATTGAGGAGGTGATGGAATTTACTGAATATTCAGTACTAGAAATAATCCAGTGATACTTAATTCCAGGTCTAGCTTAACAGACACATTTTCATGGCTATAAGCCAGAAAGCTTTACTTTGGCCAACTGGAAGTTATTTACTGATCACAAAATTGGAACAACCCAAACTAATGAAGCAGTACAATAGATTCTGAGGGTGAGGTCAGTAAGGAAAAATCATCTCACCTAGTTATACCATAACATGCCTGAAGACCAAAAGTCTTTAATGCAGGTATATGTTAAAAGATATTCTAAAAAATTATCTCTAGCAGGCACAGCATATTAGAAATATTAGGAAAACAAGGAGGTACAAAGTGCTAATAGTGCCCAAAAAACTGAGAACACTTGTATTTTCCTCTTTTTTTTCCTTCTCCCAATGTTTCCATAATTTAATTCCACATTTAAAACAAAGCTACTTGAACTGTTTCATAGTAGGTTCCTTTATTAAATTATCATTTAAAATAATAAAACTCCCATAAAATAAATGGATTTTGTACTTCTTTATGTAACAATCTAAAACTGATCCAAGGCTATTCCTAGAACAGAATGAAATGGAATACATTGAGAATGTATAACGTTTTATTTTCTCACTTCCATATCTAAATATTCTTACCTTTAATTCCAGTGTTAAGCAATGGTACACAAAGTTTTAAAAATACTCTCTCAAAGGTAAGCAATGGCACTATAACCTAGAAAAACATGCTGTTTCAAATGAGTAAGACTAACTGGATAGAATTAGGTAAACCAACCACAGTACCAACACCCAAAAAAAGCAGTTAGAAAAGTAGCATGGCTCTCCCTGTCAAGGTTAGTTTTAAAAAGTTTCCACTGTCAAATAATCCAAAGTCAACACTTGTCCACTCTGCAATCTGATTCTGAATAAGCTTCCAGAGGAACCTTTCTACCAACTCTTGCCACTTGCCTAAGAGTGCATTCCCCCTCCTCCACAAAAAAAGCTTTAGGATGCTTTTATACTTGTTTAGATATATAATGTACATTTCTAGTCAGAAGAAACCAGCCTATTAAGATGCATTAGATAAAAATGTAAAAAAAAATTTAAACAGAAAAGACAAATACGATTATCCAATATACAATGTATTTCTGAAGCTGTAACAAATGACCGTTCCTGATTTTTCCTTTAAAATAATTTAGAAAGATTTGTTTATTTCAAAATTGAAAGTACAAACATAAAGCATAATGAATCATCAGATACTTTAAAACTTTAGGTTTACTTTCACTATATAAATACTAATTTGAAAAAAATCAGCTACTAGAAAACTCACTAACCAATGAAGGTTTTTTTTTCCCCCAACTGTTTCTTTTTCTCCATTTTATCTTGTTTTAACTACACATGGGAGGGACCCAGATCCAAAGTGTATGAGTGAGGGAGAATGACATAAAAAAAAAAAAAAATTTCTAAAAACCAAACAATTAGCTAAATTAACATTTTAAGATTAACTACTAAGCTATACTTCACTCTATCCTAATTCCCAACTGAAAGCTGGTTAATATGTGATATTTCAGTACATGCTACAATCTCATTTAAACAGAATTTCTCCAATTAAAAATAAAACAAAAAAAGACAATACTGATAACAGTATCTTCAATGATTGCCATTAAACTATTCTGCAAAATCAATATGCACCTCTCAGTGGCAAACCCAGAATTTCATACATTGTAGGAGGTTTGTTTTGGTGTCAACAAATTTTGTCTCACATTATTCTTTAGTACAATAAATTAAGGAAGAAAAGGGCGGGTACAAAGCTCTATATGTCTTAAAGGGGAAAATATTAACTTCATTAATAATATTCCAAAGACTCAGAATCAGTATAACACATGCTTTTTAAAAAGGTCTCTCCAGCCAGGTGCTGGTGGCTCACGTCTGTAATCCTAGCTACTCAGGAGGAAGAGAACAGGAAGATCATGATTCAAGGTAAATAGCTCTCAAGACCCTACCTCAAAAAAAACCTTCACAAAAAGGGTTGGTAGAGTGACTCAAGGTGTAGGCCCTGAGTTCAAGCCCCAGTGCTGGGGTGGGGACAGGGAGTGGGGGGAGTCTCTCCCGTGGGCTTAGATAATGTACATGCAATCTGCCTTCTCCCTTTGGCCAAGCAAATCTCAAACAATGAATTAGCTGGTCTACATTTTCACTGAATAACTGGTCCCTTTTGAGAAATTTGTCTCTTTATTACCAGTAGTAAACTAATGATTCCCACCTTGTGTTAGAGGCATGCTATCTATCCTAGAAGGCAGGTGCCCATCCTAACATTTATCTTATGTACAACTAAATTTAGTTAGAAGGTCTTTACAGAATTTGACATTATTCCTTAGGAAAACTATGAGCTAAGAACTGTGGTTACATGATTCTGACTGCCTATAACTGACACTGGCTGGATTTTCCTGCACTGTCCTCTACCACCTGTCGCATCCTTTTCCAACCTTTCAAGGGCCAACTATTAAAAAAAACCTGAACACATCTCACAGCCTGGAACTCTCCTTTCTATTAAAGACTCAGGACACTGTTAATCGTCTAATCGCATCACTATATTCCCTTCTATCATAATTCTTGAGGTGAGAGACCAAGTAATTCACCTTTGAATCATCCTAACACTCCATACAGCTACCCTTTTAGTAGCAGTTACATAACTCAGCACTTCGATTGCTTTTTTGCACAGTAAAAAAGCCTTCTAGTCATTTGCTGAGTCAATTGTGTATCTTGTACAGACCAATCCAATCTAATGAAGTACTAACAATAAAGCAACTAAATCCTTGCTATCACTCACAAAATTTACTGCATCACTAATTTAAAGTAGTAATGTGAGAGCTGGGGGCATGGCTCAAGTGGCAGAGCTCCTGCCTAGCAAGCATAAAGCCCTGAGTTCAAACCCCAGTACCACCCACCAAAAAAAAAAAAGTAAAGTAGCAATGTGTCTTCAATTGTGTACTCATTAAAGCTACTATTACTCTGAAACTCAGCTTTTTGCAATCACAGGTGCAATTCTCTACAAATGGTTTTTCAGGATCATGGCTTTCAGCTTCTAATAAGGATTAAGGCCCAATACTCTAAAGACAATACTAACTAAAAAGAATAACTTATAAACACAACTAACTTCCACTGTTTTGAGGTTTTTTTTGCTTTTGTTTTTTATTTTTTAAAGCATCTCACTATGTAGCCCACACTGACCTTGTATTCACAATCCTCTTGCCTCAGCCTCCCAGAGTGCTGGGATTACAGGCACTGATTAGAATCATCACACCAGCTGTGATTTGCATTTTTAACGTTGTTTTTGAGATTTGGATCTGTAATTAATCTAAACATCTGAATGATAAAAACAATGAAAATTAGAGTATTTATTTCATATTATCTATCTAGCCCCACAAGCGGCTGAAAAATTTCCACCAGGGGTCCCAAAAGTCAGCAGCTAGGTCAGAATCCTTAACTTGTCACCCAAGCTCTTCCTATTAATTCACAATCAACTCAGTTTCTGTATTATATGAAATGCTACAAAACATGTCAATGTAAGACTTAGAATACATTAAGACTGGAGGCATGGCTCAAGTGGCAGAGCACCTGCTTTGCAAGCTTGAAGCCCTGAGTTCAACCCCTGCACAGCCACAATAAAAAAAAAAAAAAAAAAAACCAGAACACTCCCTTTCCACTGTTGTCAGGCAGACGTAACTAGTGGTGCACTACAGGGAGGCTGAGGCAGGAGTGCAAAGTCAAGGACAGCCTGGACAACCCCGCCGAGACAAGACCCCAACCCCCCAAAAGACATATGGTTTCTCTCCTGTCTCTTATTTGTAAAAAGGAGATGACCAAACTATCTGTAGTCACAATTGTTACAAGATACTGGTGCTTTATATGCTCAGTTTTTGTTTTTTGCATTACTGGAGTTTGAACTCAGGGCATACTCCTTGAGCCACTCCATCAGCCTTTTTTTTTTTTTTTTTTTTAGTGTTGGGTTTTTTTGATAGGGTCTTGAAAAACACTGGCTTCAAGATCCTCCTGAGTAATTAGGATTACAGGCATGAGCCACCAGCACCCTGCCTATATGCTCAGTTTAAAAACCTATAAAGGTTTATGTCCTCTGCATACAGTTATTCTTTCCTTTCCACCCTTCCCCCAATTAGATTAGTTACAGGATACATACATTAGAACTGGGTCCAATGCCTACATATTAGCTTAGCATAGCTAACTGCTTATACTGAAGTTTCAAAGTCTATTTCCTGAAAGAATGGGGGAGAGGTTAAGAGAAAAATAGGTGCTTTCCAACTACTAAAAATCAATTATCTATTTCTAAGCTTCAGTTAGAATGTATCATATTTTCATGACAGAAACACCACTTAATGATAGAAGCACAGGACACGCCAGTCAGGAGGAGTATGCCCAATAGTCAAGATAAGCTTGGAAAAGATAGAATGTTATCTTACATGCTAAACTAAGAGGTTTGACTATTTTACAAGCAGATTTTGCTCTTACATGTACTTCACAGATTAAATCCTAGCATTCATAAAAATACTGTTATGCTACATTGCCTTCATCAGCATCAGTACTGTACCACACTTTTTTTTTTGGCCATACTGTGGCTGGAACTCAGGGCCTCCACCTTAGAGCCACTCCGCCAGCCCTTTTTGTGTTAGGTATTTTCGAGACAGAGTCTCAGAACTATTTGCCAAGGCTTTCCAATCGTGATCCTCCTGATCTCTACTTCCTGAGTAGCTAGGATTACAGGCATGAGCCACTGGCACCCGGCTGTGCCTCACTTTTGATATTAAGAACGAAGTTAGTAAACTACCTAAACTGAACAGGATATGATCAAGACTAACTTTAATAAGAGTTCCAATAAATAAAACAACCATAACTGTGCAAGGGATGTAGCTCTTGTTCAGCATACAGAAGGGTTCAATTCCCAGCACAGCAAAACAAAATAAGATCATGGCTCCATCCTAGAAAATACATTTTAATTATGTAACAGGACTACTGGGGATAAACAAGACTAGCAAAGTATGATGTGCGTATACCTAACTATTGTTTTATATGGTTTTTCCAACACAGCTGTACGCATTCACATTTGTACACTGTATATCCTTATGCTATTTTCCCTAGCTCAGAGTTATTCTGGCCTTTTCAGTGTTGTTGGCCCAAATGCACTTAGACCACACTGGAGCTTCTTCCCACTCAGTGTACTCACTCATTATTATGCTCCAGTAAGTCAATTTGGTATCTCAACCTGGTACTGAAAAATAAAACTACTGATAAAATAAGAGGAAGCAAGATACACTCTGCATTACCTACATTCTGTCCAGAATAATGAAAAAACAGTTCATAAACTGGGAGCAAACTTCATTCTTATTCTGGTCCCTACATTTACTGCCTGACCTTGGTTAATTACATCCATTTCCGCCTGCCCTGATTATCTCTGAAATCTACTATGAGTCAAGCATTAATAAATACATCGCCTATAACCTTCCAACTCTACAAGTTATTCTTGATCCCTTTTAATAGGAAACAAAATCCAAAACCAAGTAACTTATTCAAAACCATAAAGCTAGAAAGTAGAGAATCAGGATTTCAAGGATCTGGTTATAAAATCCTCTGCAGAGACCTCTGTTAATATGTAAGTGATAGAGGACACAAAAAAGCTAGTACTACTAGAGTTCACCAAGTCATTCCCCTACTTCAAAAGTATTACATAAACATGTACAAAGCAAATTAGCTTTTGAAAGTTAATTTGAATGTTAAACAAAAAGTATTTTCTTAGATAAACAATATAAAAATAGAACAGAACTTTTTAAAAATCTACTATCATACTCCGAATGTACTTACATTATACCTTCACACAGCTCTGCTGAATTTTAAACCAAGGTAATTCTTTTCCTAACTCTTTGAGGCAGAACATGGGCGTGTCACCACAAACACACACAAACATAGGCAACTTGATTTCACCAGCTAATATCCTCACTTCTAACTATGGAGTCACTATACCCTCATTTGTAACCATGGAATCACTCCAAATGATCATATTCCTAGTTAACAAAAGCTTAACCTGAATTTTGGTGTCCATAACCTCTCATTTTATTATCCCAACAGTTTTTTTACAGCGTGAGAATTATTGTACAGCTCTCTGCAACCTCTTACTTGGACTCCGTTACTACAGCAGCATCTGACACTGCCAGAATAAGGAACTCTATTAAGAGAAGGTACCGAAAGAGCATTCGTCAAAGCAGGCCAGATGCCCTGGTATTAGTCTTCTGGTTCTCCAATTACTGTCAGGAGGCTAGGAAGAGAAAAAGAGCCAACAGGGTTTTGCGGTGGTGGCGTTTGTTTTGTTTTTAAGCCCTTGCTTCTGCAGGAAAAGAAAAAAAAAAAAAAAAAAAAGGCAAAAAATCCCTCTGTGGTCAAATGTTTAGCCAACAGGCCATTAGTTCCAGCTAGTTCAAAAGTAGTTCTATTGCCTCCAAGGCACCAATGTGGTGTCTTCCCATATACCTGCCTCATATTTTTAAGTTTTAAAAGAAAAGTGACTCAAGTGGTAAGAGAGCCTGCCTTGCAAGCATGAGGCCCTTAGTTCAAACCCCAGTGTCACCAAAAAAGAAAAAAAAAAGAAAAGGTAAAAAGAATCCAATCATAAACCTGTTACAAAATTCATTTATAATACCTTAAAAAAGAAATCATTTTGCCTGCTCCGGATGTTCAATTGCCAGTGTAACAAATGGTCTCCCATTGATCTGACTGAAAATATTTTAGACTGCACATCTGTTTGAAATAAATCACCCCTTGTTATCAAAATGAAAAAGAAATATGGATCTTTGCTTACCAAGTTTTCTAATGTAAATTTAGCAGTAGATAATCCGGCAAAAATAGACTCTTAGGCTTTGTTTAAAAAGTTGTAATTTGGAGGGAAAAAAGGTTTAAGTCCTTAATTGGGCCCTTGGGATTCCAATAAATTATTCCCTTTATATTCTAATTCACAAAGAGTTCCTTGAAGAGAAGATTCAGGCCCAACAAGCTATAAACATATACCCAAGGCTGCGGCAGTTACTATTTATAAACCTTTAACATTCAAAAAAATGTTTGGGTGGGAGGGGGCTAAGAAATAAGAACTACATCTCATGCCTCTTTAAAATCCTTAAAGCCTCATACTCAATTTATATTGAGCAAATGGGTGACAAAATTGCTAATCTAAACTCAGACTAGTTCATTGATGCAAGTACTAGATGTTTACTTTCTTCTCCAAAATTGGGTTGAACAGGAAAGGAGGGAAATGTTTTATAAAGTATAATTTTGGGGGCAAGATAGAGACGTACATTAGTCCTCTTTCACTTTAAGACAAACTAGCGTCTTGGCCGTTCTGTGGCCCTTCAGACTGACGCGCAACAGCACCACCTCAAGTCACAGATGACCACTGAGCAATGTTTTCTTTCTCTACGACCCCCAAGATCAGATGAGGTCACTTCCTTTGGAAGGGCCCTGCGGCTCAGGCCATGTGCTTAACATGTGGCAACAAGCTTAAGCTTTACCCAAGATAAACCCAGACCCAAGTCCAAGTGGGGGCGACTATGCCCGTCCAAAGCAGGCTCTCACGCTAAGGAAAATCCAGACAGGACCTAGCTACTTAACCTCACGACTCCCTTGTAATCTACATTCGTCTAATCTGAGAAGTAATGGCAAAGACTTGGAAAATGCACGGGTTTTCTCTGACAATGGAGTTGAAGGGCTCCTGTAACTCAGATCTTGTTGATGCAGACAAAGTGGTTCCCATCAGCCCCTTTTCACTGGCAGTGTGAGAACAGCGACTTACGACGCCATAAACGACAGTTCGAGAACAGGGAAGCTACAGGGCACGGAGAGTAAACTCCGAAGGACGCTGGGCCTTCCGGCGGGGGTCCCCCCGGCCCTGCCCCCGGGCGCCGGCCTTGGCACACGGCCCGCGCGAGCGCCCACCCCGGCCTCCCGCCGCGCCGCCGCCCTCCGGCGCGACCCCGCCGCGCCCGCCCTCGGGGCCCCGCTCCGCGACCGCGAGGCTCCGGCCTCACCCCAAGGGCGCCGGGGCCTCCTGCGCCCGCCCTGCGGCCCGGCGCGGCCTGGGCGCCCGGACTCCCAGACTGAAGGAGGGGCGGAGGGGTTGGCCGGCGGCGGAACGAAAAGCCGGGTCCGACGCGGCAGCGCGGCCGAGCTGTCCGCCTGACGCAGCAGGGCGCAGGCCGAGGTGCGGCCGCCATCGCGCCTCGCCGCTCCTACCCCTCGGTCCTCCTCTGCCTGGCCCGACCCGCACCGCGGCCTCCCAGGGCCCGTCCTCACCCTCAGCTCTCACCTTAGGCGTCTGAGCGGCCCGCTGCGGTGGAGACTCGGACGCGGGCCCAGGAAAGGCGACTCGCAAGGAAGCGGCTGTTTATTTTCAGGGTCCTTGCCTGCGCCACACGCGGATCTGCACACGGCCCCACACACGCTGCTGCGCACGGCTCTTCTCCGCCTCGCCCACGCGACCAATCAGGGCGCGGGGCTTGATCATCCAATCAGAACCGTCCGCGGGGAGCACCGCCTAGCGCGAGCGTTGCGCGGTGCCTTGACGGGCGGGGTGCACGCTTCCTCTGCGCGCCGCGTTCTCTCCCGTCGTTCCTTGCGCGCCGCCTTTCCCGCCCGCATCTTAGTTCTGTCCCCTCGGGCCTCGGCTCGCCGGTGGCTGCCCCTTCCGACGGGCTGGAAGTCCGCTGACCCTCCTCCAGGAGACCGTCCCGGGCAGTGTCAGCGGTTGACGGGAGCCAAGGACGATTTCTATCCCTTCCTGGGCTTCCCCTGGCTTTGTGACCCGGATCCGGGCCGGTTTCCTGACACGCGCCTTTAAGCTTGGGGAAAAGTGGTGGCGTAGGCCGGGCCGTGAGGTTTGTTTCGGTGTTTGTAGCCCGGGCAGACCCCGCCGACCCGGCTTCTCACCTAACCGAACTGATCCATCCTCCCGCTTAGGATGGGGATGGCAAAGAGACAATACTGAGACTGTCACAATGCTCTTGTGACATCCCCTAGGATTCTGGCGACAAAGGGCTATGAGAACCATTTGATCAGGAATGGCCTTTAATTGGATTTGCTGCTTTCTCCAGAAGAGGTTGTATGTGTAGTCGCAGATATCAAAAGCCTCCCACCATTCAAATTATTCAGTGTAGGCCCTGGGTTTGATCCCCAGCACCACCAAAAGACTAAAATATTCTAGAATTCTGTGTCCCATTTGGAGTGGCTTTTTTATTAGAAGCATGAAAAAAGTGGAAGATTCTCAAGTCTCTAGAGCTTCAAAAGGCATTGAAATTAATAGAGTCTTGTACTAAACTTAATACGGTCACTATTGTGGCTGCTGTGCCCCAGCAATGGGCCCTTGATTCCTTTAATGACTATGCTTTGAAGTTAAGTGCACAAATCTATTAAGTTAAAAGTAGGATGAACAGACCTTGTTGCCAGCATTAGTTCTGTTGGTGTCTGTGTGGACTTGAATTATTCTTTTGTCCATGGTTTTATCTGGATCCAACAAGACCCAAGGCTATGAGTGGTTGAGACTCTGGCATGACACCTGGGTTCATATCACTAGTGCTTAAGTCATTGCAAAACATTTTAGCAGATTGTATTTAACAGAGTGTCACTTGATAAGTTACCAAGTGAATGTACAATTTTAAGGACCAGTGCTATTTTTAAACTTTTAAAGGAAATCTAAAAGTTTTTAGAAAGCCCCTCTCATGGCTTGAGCCACTCCATCAACTCTAAAAGTGTTTATGAAAAGCCCACATTTTGCCTGGTGTGGTAGCATATGTTGTAATCCCAGCTACTCTGGAAGTATAGGCAGAATTGCAAACTCAAGGCCAGTTCAGGCAAAGTTAGCCAGAGCCTATCTCAAAAATAAAATAAACACTGGGCACAGGTGGCTCACACCTGTAATCCTTGCTACTTGGGAGACTGAGATCAGGAGGATTGCAGTTTCAGGCCAAGCAAATAGTTCACAAGACCCCATTTCCAAAATAACCAGAGCAAAATGGACTGAAGGTGAGGCTCAAGCAGTAGAGCACCTGCTATTTAAGTATGAACCCCTGAGTTCAAACCCCAGTCCCACCAATAAAATAAATAAAAATTTCTTTTAAAAAAAAAAGGTTCAATACCCAATACTTGGGGGAAAGGGCCACATGTTCATTCAGGTTGAATAAAAAGATCCTTTGCAGTTTATGTATTGAGCCATAACACCAGATTTGAACAATAATGAAATAGTATTTTGTACCTTACTTCATTTTATGACTAAGAAGCTTACACAGCTTTATAGATCTATAGTTGTCCCTCCTTAATCTGATTAATACCTGGAGGTAAAGGCAATTGCAGACACTTAAGTAGTATCTTCCTAAGCTCTGGCAATGAGTAAATAGAATGCAAGAGGCTATGTACAAAGTCCAACCTGTGTACATACAACACTTCACGAAGGCATGTTAAGACTATCAGGGAAAAGGAATTACTATTTCCTGACTTGATTTTTGCTTACCATTCCAAACACAGTCCTATGTAAAATGTTTTTCATTATAGACCCAGGATGGAATGTTCCTAATATTAAGAAAAAAAATTTAAACCAGGCATGGTGGTACTCACCTATAATCTCAGCACTTGAAGCCTGAGGCAGAAAGATCACAAGTTCGAGACCATTCTGGGCTAACAATAAAACCCTGTTTCGAACTAGAGAAAAGGTTAGATCAAAAAGAATTAACCTAGAAGGTAACACCCACGCACAGGAAATTAATGTGAGTCAACTCCCTGTATAGCTATCCTTATCTCAACCAGCAAAAACCCTTGTTCCTTCCTATTATTGCTTATACTCTCTCTACAACAAAATTAGAAATAAGGGCAAAATAGTTTCTGCTGGGTATTGAGGGGGGGAGCCGGGAGGGGGTGGAGTGGGTGGTAAGGGAGGGGGTGGGGGCAGGGGGAGAAATGAACCAAGCCTTGTATGCACACATGAAAAATAAAAAAAAATAAAACCCTGTTTCAAAAATAAATAAGTAGCTGGCAGAGTGACTCAAGTGGTAAGAGCACCTGCCCTGAGTTCAAATCCCAATGCCACCAAAATAAATAAGTAAAATGAAAATTTTAAACTAGTTGAAGAAATTCAGAGTGTATGAAATAGAGGTATCAGACATGATGTTCTGTAAGTTTTACAAAACTGAAGTAGAAGAAACAGAAACAAAATGTGTTTACTGCTTGGTTCTGGGAGTACTAACAGCGAATGCCTCTTTACCTGGTGTAATAATGATTACATCTGTAATGGTGATTATTACTAGAGCCAAACTGTTTAAGAGGCATTATGATAGTCCACATAACCACAGTACTTTCAATACCTGGATGTGCCCTGGGGTACTCTGTTGCACTAGAGATATTTGAAAATAAGAAAAAAGCCATTTTATCCCTTGGAAATATATTTAATCTCCCACTTCCCTCCTGTGTTTGATCTTAGCCAGGTAAACCAGGTGTTGTACTTGGCATTGCAAGGGTTACAAATGTGACTAGTCACCAGGCACGAGTGGCTCACACCTGTAATCCTAACTACTCAGGAGGCAGAGATCAGGAGGATAGCTATTTGAAGCCAGCCTGAGGGGGTAAGAAAAAAAAAGTGAGACCCTATCTCAAAAATACTCCCTCCAGAAATGGGCTGACAAGTGGTAGAGTGCCTGCCTAGCAAGCATGAGCACCTGCGTACAGTCCCCACCCCAGTCCAGTAACTAGTTATGACTTAGACCTTGCCCTTGATGAACATGCAGTATATTAAGGATCATAAGAAAATATTAAGTGTTTTCCAGACATGGTATACATGCCTGTAATTCCAGCACATAGGAGGCTGAGGAAGGAGGATCACAAGTTTAAGGCCAGTCTGAACTACATAGTGAGACCTTGTTTCAAAAGCTTAAGGACTGGGGTTCAGCGGTAGAGCACTTGCCTAGTGTGTACAAGGCCTGAGGTTCTATCCCCAACACCACAAAAAAAGTATCATTTGGGAGAAGGCCAGCTAAAATGCTGTGACTCAGCATGATCCAAGATTCCTGCTCAAAGCAGTTAAGCAACAACACTTCTCCACTCTTCATTGCAGTTTAAATGCCCAGCTGCATGGCACATGCCTTAGGCTCTGCAGTTAAGTCGAGATGACAGATAAATCTTCCCCTGTCTTGTTTTCTCTGCCAGCAGGGAAACTGTGCTCTATGGCTTTACTTGGAAAGTGTGTTCTAAGCTAAGGTTGTGGAGAATAACTTTATTTCTACCTCTTCTGAAGCAGAATCAGTGACTGAGACAATGCCTGAAACAGGGATCTGTACTACAGAGAATGCTAATCATTAAAACCATATATGCAGATACAGAGAGCTCTTATAACAATGCCTGCCTCAAGTAATTACTATTACAGTCCCATCTGATTTTGTTTATTGAGTACTATGTGCCACTTTTCATAACCTTTCTGAACTTTTCACAAAGCCCCTATGCAATAAGTGCTTTCATTATCCGCAGGAGGAAAGTGTTCAGAGAGTTTAAGTAATCTGCCCAGGGTAAGAAAGTGAATAAATGACTGACCATGCTTCACACACAGGCTGCCTGTATGCATAACCACAATGCTTCTGGCCTCCTGGTGTTCATTGAGACCTAATTCTACAATTTCCCACTGATTCTTTACAGGGACAAGAAAAATGTGAAACACTTCACAACTGTGGGAGTGTTCCATCAGTTAACAAGCCGCCTCTGTGCCCTCGAATTGGAACAAACTCTACAGTGAACTAACTGGTTAGAGAAAAGCTTTATTTGGAAATAGTTTTTAAAGTTTCAGAGCAAAACTTCTTTTTTTCTCCTTAAAAGTAGATGCATTCATTTAAAAACAAAAAGAGACAGAAAGTGGGCTAGGAATATAGTTCAGTGGTAGAACACTTGCCTACCATGCACAAAGTCCTGAGTTTGATCCCCAGAACCACAAAAAATAAATAAAATAGAATAAGAATTTTAAAAAGTAATTTCATATCAACTGAGTGCCATTTCCTCATGCCTGTAATCCTAGCTACTCGGAAGGCTTAGATCAGGAGAATTGAAGTTCAAGACAAGACCCCATTTCCAAAATATCTGGAGCAAAATAGACTGGAGGTGTGGCTCAAGCAGTAGAGCACCTGCTTTACAAATTCAAAACCCTGAGGTCAAACCCCAGTCCCACCAAAAAAAAAAAAAAGTTGACATGAAGTGCCATAATCTACAAAAATAATATAACCAGTTTTAAAGTTTAATTTTAAAAATTACTATATAATTAGGTGAATTAGAATCTAAGATTTAGAAAAGTATCTCTTCATTTTAAATGAGAAAGGGAGACTTACAAAGTTGTAAAGGGTTCTACAAATCCAAAAAAGAGCTGATGCTTTTAACATGGTGCCACCCATATCTCATAAGAGGCTGTTACCTATGCTTGAGACCTGAGTAATGCAACTAATTACAAAGATGAGAAGAAAAGCAGAGCCCACATCTCATACTACCTAT